TGTTGTAAATGAAATGAAACAAAATGAAGTAATCTATGATTAATTATAGATCACAGACATGAAGAAAGGAGAAAGAACCAAGTAATATGTGGAAGTCCCGGGAAATCTGCTAGATTCTTTAGTAAGGATCAACATTTCCAAGAAATGTCTGTGAGCTGTCAGATTATTTTTTAGTGTATATATTTTACTGTCAAGATACTGTATGGAGGGGTTACAGTTACATGAGTAAGGCAATGAGTACATTTCCTATCGAGCATTGTTACCTCCTCCTTTGTTTTAAGCTGTCAGATTCTGTACCTTGAAGAAACAGAATGGATCTTAAATTGCTTATGCGGTGATATGAGAATTCAAAGTCATAGTGTAATTGGCACCAATGATATTTAGGACAAGACTAGATCTAATTTTGCAACTTATCAAGGCAGTTTCTTAAATGAAGTCTTGAATGGCAAGGATAACTATAAAATATGGTTATTTGATTACTTTTTATCTTGTTGGGATTACCTATTGTGTCTTTTACATTATTGACAACATTTTAAAAAATGCATCCACAGAGTGCTCCTTAAGAACAGGAGCCTATTTTTCTCACTGCTCTATTTCCAGTCTCAAGAATAAGGCACAGAACATGGCAAATACTCATAAAATATTTGTTTTATGAATGTGTGATCTCCCCTCAGAAGAAGCTGGGAGTAGTTGCACACACCTGGAGAACCAGCTACTCAAGAGGCCGAGGTAGGAGGATTACTTGAGCCTCGTAGTTCAAGAGCTGCTTGGGCAAGATAGCTATAGACCCCTTCCTCAGCAGCAACAAAAACCTCAGAGACCACAATGCTCTGGACTGTGGTCACCATTTCAGCCTATACTGTGCATCGTAACAGGATTGGCCCATCCTAAGGCATTCTGAATTTCAGAACATGTTTCATGTTCTCTAAATTCAAATGCTCTTTGTTTCTCTGGTCTATAAAGATCCTTCTCCAACTTTTTAACTTCTATCATCCTCAACACTACGTTCAAGCTTTACCAACTTTGGAAAGTTTGAAAAGGCCCCTTGATGAAGGCCCCTCAAGGTGACTCAGGCATTCCTTCCCTCTGAATGCTCCCACAGCACTGATCACATGCTTTTCACAGCCACTTCTTCATAATCTGAGGCACTGTTTCCAGGACAATCTCCTCCTCAGAGGAAAATGGTGAAGCAAGCTAGGTATGGTGGCACACATAGGTAGTCCTAGTACTTGGGAGAGTAAGGTTGGAGAATTTCAAGTTTGAGACAAGTCTGGGCTACAGAACAAGACCCTGTCTCAGACAAAGGTGTAGAATGCATGTAGATAAATTATATCTTCTCACATACTTTAAATCATGTCTAGACTTCTTATGATAAATCAATACAGTGGAAATAGTTTTTATGTTAAGGAATAATGAGAATAACAACTGTAAATGTTCAATAGAGATGTATTTGTTTTCAAATATTTTTGACGTTTAAATCCACAAATGTGTAAAATCTGTGGATATGGAGGGTTGGAAGATTGTGAATCCCTGATGGGAAAGGATCACTTCTTTCGTGTCTGCCTAAGGCTCAGTAAATATAGTGAATTAACTGCTACAAAGAGATATTACAAAGAAAGCATTCAGCAATACATTCTGCTGTAGTCTGGATCTGAAATGCTCTCCAAAGGTGGTTTTTGTTTTTTTTTTAAAGGATTGGTCTCCAGCTTTGTGATACTGGAGGTAGTATGCAACCTTTAAGAGATGGAGTCTAGGGCTGGGAAGGTGGCTCAGTGGTAGAGCGCTTGCCTTGCATGCTCGAGGCCCTGGGTTAGAATCCTCAGCACCACATAAGCAAAAAGAAAAAAGCCGGAAGTGGCCACTGTGGCTCAAGTGGTAGAGCACTAGCCTTGAGCTGAAGAGCTGAGGGACAGCGCCCAGACCCAGAGTTCAGGCCCCACGACCGGACCCAAAAAAAAAAAAAAAAAAAAAAAAAAAGAGATGGAGTCTAGGAGGAAAAAGTTAGACTATTAAGGAGAAGGCCCTTGAAAGTGATTTTAGGTCTCCAGATGATGATTTTAAGTTTTGTCCCTAACCTTACAGCTTATGCTATTTTGCTATATTTGGTGTATAACTTAATCAAATCAGATTTCACCTATTAACATATGACACTGGTCATATGTTTTCAGAGAAGTTTCAGAGTTTAAAAATTAATGGGAGCTGATTAGTGGCTACTGAGGCATGAAGAACTGGATGCTGTAAATGATGTTCACATTTTTGAGATAGCAAGGGTTATTTTGGGCAGGAAGTGAAAACCATATTAAGCTGTAGTAAAGTAACACATACTTTCCATGAAGTAAGGAAAACGCCACTCAGTTTGCTACAAAGGAAATTACATGTGTGCAATAGAATTACTCAACAATTTTAGAGGCTTAGAGCTTGCTTTTGGTACAAAAAGCTTTAACTCATGGTTTTGTTCTTAGTTAGGGGCAATGTACAATTCACTGTGATGCTAGCAACACTGTAGACATGCACATGGTTCCACTATAGGTATAAAACAGGATTTCTCCACCTCTGCACCACTGACTTGTTAGGCCACATTATTATTTTTTATGGGCTCAAACACTTACGCATGTTTAGCAGCCACCTTGACCTCTGTCTACTAGATGCCCGTAGCCAATTCCTCCAAATGTGACAAACGTTATTTAGCAGACAAAACTGCACCCCCAGCTGAGAATCATTAGGCTAAGATTTAGACAAAACCTTCCCAGACATTCAAAGTTAAATTTAGGTGATGAGTAGTGTTTACAAAATACAATTAACCACTGCACAGTATTAGTATCTATTATAGGATAAAATGTAAACTCTAGTCTGTGGCTCAGAAAGGCTGCAAAAGAGTGTTCTGGATGTCTGAAACACGGTGCACATCTCCTTGCACTGGAAGCCATGTGATTTTTTATTTTTTTCTCCCATCTTTGGAATGTCACCACTGCAGGACACTGCTTTTTGTGGTGAGACTAGATGAAAAGGTACACAACCTAACGAAGATAAGACCTAGACCAGAGTCTAGATGAGGCTGATTAGGAACATTGCATGTATCAGGTTGCCACAGACTAGATGATTTTGTTGTAAGTCACAATTATATAGTACAAACTTGGACAGGTGAGGTGCTCGGTTGTCTTTTCTCTATTTCATGGAGGCATATGTGACATGTTCTGTGTGTAGGGATATTAAGCTAAGAATGTGTGAAAGAGTAGCTAACAAAAGTATTATAATTTCACTGGTACAGGAGACATTCTATAAAAGAAATTAAATGATTCATTTTAGAAAAATTAATATAATGATAAGGTTTATTTTCACTTATTTTATAAAAAAATTTCCCCTCCACAATAAAACATGTTCTGGTAAACAGTATAGTATACTGTTTATACATTCCTTTATACATTTATTTATTTATTTATTTGGGCCCGGTCATGGGGCCTGTACTCTGGGCCTTGGGTGCTGGGTGCTGTCCCTCAGCTCTTCAGCTCAAGGCTAGCACTCTACCACTTGAGCCACAGCGCCACTTCCGCCTTTTTTCTTTTCTCTTATGTGGTGCTGAGGGATCGAACCCAGGGCCTCAGGCATGTAAGGCAAGCACTCTACCACTGAGTCACCTTCCCAGCCCCCTTTATACATTTAAAATACAGTTCTCAAGCAAAAAATACCTGCAGATGACTCATTATCTTCTATGAAGGTTTGTGTCAAAAATAACCTTAACAATTTATCATTGGAAATATTTATGACAAATGCAACCTTATATTTTGAGTTCTTTTTCACTCCCTTTCTTGGTTGGTACTGATGTTTGAACTCAGGGACTTGTGCTTGTTAGGCATGCACTGCACTGAGAACTCATACCTCTAGTATTTTTCTTGCATTGGTTATTTTGAGACAGGGTCTTGCTAGGCCTGTGCCTGGACCATTCTTTTTTCCTATTTTCCTCTTCTTTCTATAGCTGGGGTGACAAGTACTACTCTGTCGTTCTTTCTGTTGGGAAGAAGCTAGCCTAGGCTGGCCTGAAACCATGATCATCTCAGTCTTAGCCACCTACATAGCTGAGATGACATTTGCATGCTGGCACACCTAGCTAGTGGTTTTTTTTTTGTCGTGGGGCTTGAACTCTGGGCTTGGGCGCTATCCTTGCACTCTTCAGCTCAAGGTGAGCGCTCTACCGCTTGAACCACAGAGCCACTTCCGGTTTTCTAGTGGTTTATTGGAGATAAGAGTCTCATGGACTTTCCTGCCCGGGCTGGCTTTGAACCGTGATCCTCAGATCTCAGCCTCCTGAGTAGCTAGGATTACAGGTGTGAGCCACCGGCGCTAGGCTGGAGAATGGGTCTTAATAAATAAAAAAATAAAACTTTTTGCCTAGGCTGGCTTCAAATCTGACTTTCATGATGTCAGACTTCTGAGTATCTAAGGCTATAATATGTCAGCCACTGGTACCTGGAACATACGAATTTTTAAAAAAAATTCAGATCTGATCCAATATCTAATTTGTATATTACTCTGGAAAGAAGTCAAGGAAGTTGGCTTTAGCAAGTTCCTATCTCAGTTACTGGTGTTACAAAATCTTGGTTTACGTTACAGTCTATTACATAATGCTACCATAAGTAAAACTGTCCTGTAGTAGATAATAACTTGGTTATGAGAAACATTAAAAAATTTCCAGAAGTATTTCTGCCTTAAGATTTTCATTATGAGGGGCTGAGAAGGTAGCTCAGTGGTAGAGTGCTTGCCTTGCATGCCTGAGGCCCTGGGTTCGATTCCTCAGCACCACATAAGCAAAAAGAAAAAAGCCAGAATGGCGCTGTGGCTCAAGTGGTAGAGCACTAGCCTTGAGCTGAAGAGCTGAGGGACAGCGCCCAGGCCCAGAGTTCAGGCCCCATGACTGGACCCAAAAAAAAAAAAAGATTTTCATTATGAGACACAAACAAAAGATAGCCTTATGTCAGAACATATTGTTGGCATCAGCTACTGACCTGTTTATTCTTGAACACAGGGCCTGAAATAATACAGTCATCACTATCAGAATCTGATCTATCTTCATCTGTTAAGAAATAAGAGGGCAACATTTAACTTAAAAGTCAAGACTAAAGAATAATCCAGTTAATAATATTGAACCCAAACAATATAAAAGTAGTTAAAACAAATTGTGGGTATTAACACTTGTATTCTATGAACTCCAAGGTAATATAAGAAGAGATATAATAACTTTACCTAGCATACTAAGCAGGCAGAATGAGCTGTAACCCAGCATTTCTGTCAAGAAATAGGTATCATGAGGTAGAGTTTACTATAAATGTTCTGTGAGGTAAGCTCTAATAGACTAAAGATAGCAATGAGTTAAGGAAATAATGTTAAAGAGCTACCTTCTGGTTCTAATTCTTCTGTGACTTCAGTTTCATCCTCAGAAGAAGCTAGGCTTTGCTCTGCGAGCTGGCCCTCAGACAGCAAGGAAAAGTCATCTTCTTTTCCTTGCTGTGTTTTCTCAGTATTCTCTTTTGCCTTAGTTCCACTACTTTCTTGTGAAACCTGGGGAAAGCAAAGCTGTATTTATTGCTTACTCCACACTTTACTTTTGTTGAAGCACTTGCATAAACATGTAGCTGAGACAAATAGAGAGATATGCACTATATATGAGAGACTCATTATAAAGCAATCATTTAAATTTTACTGAAATGCAAATACAGTATATATTCAGATTTTCACTTATTTCAAGAATAAAAAATGCATGGATGCCATAATTTGACTTTAAATTACAGATCTTCTATTGCACACCAATATCAGTATAATTGCAGCTGTTGCCTTTGTCATATTTTATCTTTTTACTGCAAGATAGTCACATAAATACGGTAAATGTTATGATTTCCTGAATTATGACAATGCTCACAAGGCAATGTCTCTTAAGAATCAACTTAAATCATTCAAAAATAGAAATGCATACCTGGGCAATATGTGAAACAGTGGGCATAATAATTTCCATTTCTGGTGTCTGCTCTTCTTGTGAAATTTCTTTCAAATCTTCTGGAGGAATAGACGTTTCCTTGTATTAAGTGAAAACATGAATGCATGTTATTTTGTATTTACTACTAAATCCCAAATGATTCTAAACCTTTTACATAAATACATATGTAAATATATATATACATATATGTCAATAAAATTGGTAGAAATATGATCACTATTCAGTGATACTGTAGTTATAGTTCAACAAACATGGTGGATGTTCCCTTTTCTTTTCCTTTCTTCTTTCCCTTTCCCTTCTCCTTCCCCTCTCTCCCACCCATTGAGCTACATCCAAGTGAATATTCTTCAAAATATATGCATATACATTTTAACAAATGAAAGCATAGTCCATGGACTCCTTATTACAGTAAAAAAGTGGGGAGCAATGAAAATGTATAATATAGGCCATTAACTGAAATATGCTACATTCTAATACCTGAGTTCTGTGTAACCATGAAAACATTATGATGTAGATCTGTAGTTGGTGACCTCACAGAACACATCAAAAAGTGATGAGTAAAGTAAGCTATGGAACAGGATGTATAGTTGTTTAAAGTTTTGTTTAAAAAAAAAAAAGCCTTGGGGCTGGGAAGGTGGCTCAGTGGTAGAGCGCTCGCTTTGCATGCTTAAGGTCCTGGGTTCGATTCCTCAGCACCACATAAGCAGAAAAAAAAAAGCCGGAAGTGGCCTGTGGCTCAAGTGGTAGAGTGCTAGCCTTGAGCTGAAGAGCTGAGGGACAGCACCCAGGCCCAGAGTTCAGGCCCCACGACCGGACCCCCCCAAAAAAACAAAAAAAAAACAAAAAAAACTTTAATCAAATGTATGTATGTATATGTTTCTACAGGAAAAAATATGGCAGAAAATTCACAACTCTGCATTACAGTTTTCAGGAAGTCTGATTTTATTTTACTGCTTTCTAAAATATATTTTCTAATATTCTATGTTGATTATATAATCAGTAATTATAACTCAAAAACATATCTCTTAAAATAGGCATGTGGTTCCTATAATCAATATCATCTTACTGTATCAAAAAACTTGTCAATAATTTTGGAGGAGAGGCTGGTACCGGGGTTTGAACTCAGGATGTGGCACTTCCTAAACAGGTGTCTTAAGCCACTCTGCCACCTCATATTTTATACATATTTTTTATATATATATGTATATATGGGGCCTGGGCACTGTCTCTGAGCTTCTTTTGCTCAAGGCAAACACTCTACCACTTGAACCATAGTGCCACTTCTGGCTTTTTTTTTATGGTACTGAGGACTTAAACCCAGGGCTTCATGCATGCTAGGCAAGCAATCTACCACTAAGCCACGTTCTCAGCTCTCTTATAATCAATTTTTCTAGTTCAAAAACTGATGTTAAGTTTAAATAGTCTTTAATTTTTACTATTTTAAAAGTAGACATGTTCAATATTGAAATGTAAAAGATGAACAAGAAAACATAAAAGAAATGTGTACAGATGTATATTTCTAATGTCAGATAAATTTAACTTGTTCACAATTTTTAGATATGACTGAATAATGGTAATCACATAATCATCTATTACTACATCTCTACGTAAATGCCTTTTTAAATATGAATGACCATTTACTTAGGATTCAAAGTACCTGTGTTCAAACTTTAGCTCCACTATCTTGACTATGAGCAGTTGCTTAACCTTTCTAAATTCACTGTCTCCATCATTCAAATAGTATGAATTGCATAGGGCTATTGTGAGCATTAAATGAGCCTAATGTGTGAAAAGCATTCATCTTAGTGCTTGGCATGTAGGAAGTGCTCAATATATTCTAGCCATAAACATCCTTTGAATTATAATTATTGAATTCATTTGCTTAGCACATATGTATTAAGTGCTTTGTATATGCCAGGTAGTATAGTAAACCTTAAGATGATGGACTATTTTGCTGGGGGTTGTGGGAACATAAGACACATAGGTAAACAGGGAGCAGCATGCTTAAGGTTTCTGTCCTTTTATTATGGAAGCTATATGCTAGAAGCATTTTTAAAAGGTCCACGGGAATAACAAAGACAGATTGGTATTGGCACAAAAATAGACCTAAAGACCAGTGGAATAGATTAGAAGATCCAGAAATAAAACCACATACTTACAGTCAGCTGATATTTGACAAAGAAGCCAAAGATATACAGTGGAAGATGCATAGCCTCTTCAACTATTGGTGCTGGGAAAACTGGGTGGCCACATGCAGAAAACTAAAAGTGGACCCCAGCTTGTCACCATGCACTAACATCAACTCAAAATGGATTAAAGATCTTAACATCAAATCTGAAACTCTGAAACTACTGCAGGACAGAGTAGAAGAGACACTTGAACTTATAGGCATAGGCAAGAACTTCCTGAATACAGTCCCAGGGTCACAACGAATTGGAGAGAGACTCAACAAATGGGACTACCTTAAAACAAAAAGTTTCTGCACAGCTAAAGACATAGCTACTAAACTAGAAAGACAACCAACTAACTGGGAAAAAATATTTACCAGCAATATATCAGATAAGGGTCTATTATCCATTATATACATGGAACTCAAGAAACTAATCCCTCCCAAATCTAACAAACTAATTATTAAATGGCAAGGGAGCTAAAGAGCGACGTCTTAGAAGAAGAGATAAAAATGGCAAAGAAACACATAAGGAAATGTTCATCATCCCTGGATGAAAAGGAAAGGAAATGAAATAAAAATAACACTGAGATACCACCTTATCCTAGTCAAAATGGTCCACATCCTAAATTCAGCCAACAACAAATGCTGGTGGGGATGTGGAGAAAGAGGAATTCTATTGCATTGCTGGTGGGCATGTACACTAATCAAACCACTTTGGAAAGCAGTCTGGAGCTACCTCAGAAAGCTAAATACAGACCTATCTATGACCCAGCCATACCACCCACTCCTAGGCATTTATCCTGAGCAACAGGAATCAGGATACAAGGACATATGCACCTCTATGTTAGTTGCAGCACTGTTCACAATAGCCAAGATATAGAAACAACCCAGAAGCCCCACTATAGATGAATGGATCCAAAAATTGTGGTACCTATATACAATGGAATATTATGCATCTGTTAGAAAGGACAAAATAATGGTATTTGCCGGGAAATGGATGGAACTAGAAAAAAATCATTTTGAGCAGGGTAAGCTAAGAGCAGAGAGACAAACAGCACATGGTCTCCCTAATCTGTGGATGTTAAATTAAAAAAATGCAAGGGATATGACAAAGTAAACAGGACTTGAGAAACAAAGGACCTCCACTCAATTTGTCATATTGTTATGAAATGACTCCATGTTCTTGGACCCATATATGGTATATATATATGTGCACATCTGAGGGAAGCTAGGAGGAGGACACAGAATCAGAGGGAAATGGGAAAATATACAACAGAGGGGCCCATCAGCTGCACTGGACATTGATGAAAATGAACTAAGCAACTCAAGGGCAGTGATGGGAGGGAATGAGAGGGAAAGAGGGAACAGCTTACACTAAGCAAAAGGAAAGAAATGCACATATCACCCAATGTGGAAGAAACAGTTGTATTGTCAAAGCTTATAGAATTCAAAACTATAGACCATGATAATGACAATTTGCCTTGTGAAGGTTAAAATGTATTTGTGACTTTAAGTATTACTCTCACAATACTGTAAAATTTGTGAAATTTATGTAATCATTTAATCTCAATAAAAATTATTTTAAAAAGGTCCATGGGAGATGATGGTGATGAATGGTAACAGTATAGATGATGTGAATATTGAACATAATTTCAAGGTTTCTACAGTTGACAGCTTTTGGACATGAATAGAATGTGGGTATAAGAAATAGGAGTCATTGGGGCTGGGAAGGTGGCTCAGTGGTAGAGCGCTTGCCTTGCATGCATGAGGCCCTGGGTTCGATTCCTCAGCAGCACATAAGCAAAAAGAAAAAAGCCGGAAGTGGTGCTGTGGCTCAAGTGGTAGAGCACTAGCCTTGAGCTGAAGAGCTGAGGGACAGCGCCCAGGCCCAGAGTTCAGGCCCCACGACTGGACCCAAAAAAAAAAAAAAAAGAAATAGGAGTCATAGGTATTCTTCCAAAATGTCATGCTTGCACAATTGAGCAAATGATTATGATACTTACTAAGAATGGGAAACACTGAAAGAGGCAAACATTTTTAAGATGCTTGGTTCAGAAGTTAGGTTTTTGACATGTTAAGTTTAAATTTCCATTAGAGTATCTATTGCATATGAAATAAGCAACAAAAAATAAATACAGGATTCAGTAGTGAGGTTAAGATATTATAGATACAGGAATGTCAACATACAGTTAGAGCTTTTTAAAGCCAGGGGTCTGGATAAGATCTCTAAATGTGGATGCAGCATTTAGAGATCTGGTCCAAGAAAGTGGGAGAGATAACTGGTAAGGCTGGAGGATAACTAGCATGATATTCCAGGGGTCAGAAGAAGGAGTAGTCTACATGTCATGAGGGAGGCGACTATTCCACATTTTCTAGAGTAAGATGGTAGGTAACACACTGACTACTAAATAAAGGCAAAAAAAAGTTTCTGTAACATTACCAAGAGTGGTTTTATGAAGATAAAAGTCTGACTGAAGTAAGTTCAAATGAACTGTAAAGAAAAGGAGACAGAATTCAGGCATCATTTTTGAAGACTTTTTTTTTGTCCGTTGTGGGCCAGGGTGTTGTCCCTCAGCTCTTTAGCTCAAGGTGAGCGCTCTACCACTTGAGCTCCACTTCTGGTATTCTGGTGGCTAACTGGAAATAAGAGTCTCATGTCCTTTTCTGCCTAGGCTGGCTTTGAACTGCAATTCTTAGATCTCAGCCTCCTGAATAGCTAGGATTACAGGCTTGACCCATCGGTACCCATCTGAAGACTTTTTAAAAGTTCTGTAAATGGGAGCAGAGGACTGGGACAGTAGCTGGGGAGAGAGATGGGACCACGAGGGGGCTAAGATCAATAAATATAAAGAGTTTATACAAATGCTCAACTTCTGTAGCCATAAAGAAATGCAAATCAAAACACAGATTCCATCTTACCCCAGTTAGAATGGCTATAATAAAAAAAAATCTAATAACAACAGATGCTGGAGGGGATGTGGCCAAAAGGGAACCCTACTGCATTGTTGGTGGGAGTGTAAACTTGTTCAATCATTTTGGAAAACAGTATGGAGGTTCTTCAAAAGACTCCACATAGAGCTTGCCTATGACCCAGCAATCCCACTTTTGGGCATTTACCCAAAGAATCACAAATAAGGCCATACTAAAGCTACCAGCACAATTATGTTTATAGCAGCATTATTCTCCATAGCTAAAATATGGAACCAACCTATATTACCCCTCAGTAGATGAATGGATCAAGAAAATATGGTATATACACACACATGTATACACACACACACACAAACACACACACACAATATGGAATTCTATGCCTCCATCAGAAAGAATGACATCACCCCATTTGTTAGGAAATGGAAAGACTTGGAAAAAATTATATTAAGTGAAGTAAGCCAGACCCAAAGAAACATAGGTTCCATGGTTTTCCTTAATTGCAATAACAAGTATATGTCTAGGGACAAGCAGAAAAGGCCAAAAGCTATGTACATATGACCATATAAGATGATGCTAAGCAAAGTGAACCCCAAGATAGGGACACAAGAGGTTTTATCTTTCTTGCTGTTTTTAATGTACTTATAATGTACTATATGATTTTTTTTTGTTTCTTTTGTATGTTCTTCCCCCATGGTATAACCCCTGTTTTCACTGTATTTGATTATGGTGTCCTGCATCTTGTATATACATTTTTCTAATTTGAGGAGGAGAAGGCAAACAACAATATGCTGAATAAGGATACAGGCTGACTCATTGTAATAATGATATGTACAAGATACTATGTTGAAAACAAACTTTACAAATTAGGGGTGGGGGAGGGAGAAGTTGGGGAGGTTGGGAGGAAGGGATGGTAGGGAAAAACAAAGGAGGGGGTGTAACAATGCTTGATGGGAAATGTACTCATTGCCTTACTCATGTAACGGTAACCCCTTGTACAGTATCTTTACAATAAAAAAATATGAGTTAATACATATACAAGAATCTTTACAGGAAAATGATGTACTTTACATTCGTTTCCATTTAAATGAGAGAAGTTCCATTGTACCTTTTTTTAAAACAAATTTCTAAAACTTGTTACAGAAAAAAAAAATGAGTTTGAGTGTTTACTACTTACAGAACCCTGTGGTATGATGTCCACAAAAGACACCTTCTTCTCCACAGGTGTTAGACGTTGTCTTGGTTTAGGTCTTGGTGCCTAAAATAAACCAATATGTCATACTAAGTATGATGATGATTACTTTTTAGATAACGTAATAGTGCTATTTTGACAGAGTTTGTTTGGGTATTAAGTTTATATTAAAAACTGAAAGGAAATCAAAGGTCACTATTACTCACTGCAACTAACGTGCTAATAGAGGGTGTTGAAGGTAGTCTTTGCACAGCTTCTGGCTCGTTTTCCTGTGGCAAATTTCCTATGTCCTCAGTGGTTATTGATCCACTTGGTGGAAGGTAAGCAAATTTCCATTTCAATATAACTTGAATGGTACCTGCAGGATGCTTCTGATGATCTGTTAACTCAAAAATCCCTGTCAAATTGTAAAAATAGTTTTAATTAATGTTGGATATAGTTTTACCATAAGAATTAAACAGCTTCTTTAAAAACAATTTTGGCTTTTGCCTACAATGCCAATGTTTTAGAGAATAAAAACAGATCAGAGGATCTATGACGGGTTCATGTTTCAAGCAGACTTCTTTCAGAGGTTAAACCTTAACATAGATTTAAAATGAGAACATTAACTTGTAAATATTTTAATTCACTTAAATTCAGAGATTACTCAGAACTCCTAGCCTTTCTTTAAGACGTATCTGTGTTATGGCTGAAGTATCAATCTTTATTTTGGCTTGAGTATTTCTGTCTGTAAAGCAAAACATACTAAAACTTTAAAATTTCAAATAATTTTGTTTCTAAGAAAGTCTTTATATTATTAAATATTATGATTTTAATTATAGTTTACTAGGGATTTGTTAAATTATGCCAAACTAACAGTAACCCATAAATAAATAATGATATAAAAAAAGCTGAAATAAGACTGCCTAAAATAGCAGTGACTAAAAGATCACTTAGCTAAATCTATATATCTGAGTCACAAATTGGAATTACTGTAGTAATTCGGGGGTTTGAAAATATGTCACTAACAAATCTATTTCAAGTATAACTTTTGTTTAATGGTACATATTCCTTGGGTTCAAGTGTTGATATTTCTCTTAATGATTGGCTAAGAAAACTCCCAATTCTTAAGCTCTCAAAACTCTTAAACTTTAGAGTTTGCTATATGAAGGACTCAGCAAATACTCTTCCTAAAAAGCAATGAGAAAAGTGGAGGAAATAGCAAACATCATCACAGTAAGTTGATCAAAGGTGCACAACAAATTGAGAAGCAATTATGCAAGAGAATCTACTGAACCTCGGGAGAAACAGTAGGAGTTTATGGGGTTATTCTTGGCCTTCCCTCTTGGGTCTGGCTGCTATAGAAGTGTACTAGGATGGGATAGACCTCTATAGAAGGAGACTGACTTTATTTGGAACAGAAAATAGGTAATTCTATTCCTTGGAAATTGTTAGAAACAATAGCAATCACAGTGCCAAACAATCAGGATCAGAAATCCAAGCAACAATTTAAAAGGATTAAGACATCCAAAGTGGACCTTGAGATCTTCCTTCTATCTTATGGTGTAGAAGGCAGTGGGTATATATAAAGCTATGTGCATGCTCAGAAGAAACCCAAGAGGACTCGAGTAATTATTTGTCCCTAGATAAATGAGAGGCCTAGCAGTAGCAAATCCAGACAGTAAAAGCTAAAGCAGACTAATAAAATGCTTAAACTTTGAACACATCTTATAACATAAACTGATCCACAAAGGAGGGAAGTCTCCTACGTCAAGGTATTCTAGCATAGTTTTAGCCATCACTAGATGACCATTAAGCTTTGTAGACCTGTGGTTATAAATAGCACTTAGCAGAGACATCAGTGGGTATACATAGCAGGGGAAACAGACTCTAGAGAGTCTGGACCATTATCTTCCTATTTATATTTCTCGCATATCTAGTATGAAAAACGTGTGCTACCTCATGGCTGAGATGAGACTTGCTAACTTTTTTGTCCTCTTGATTTCAGCCTTCTGAATAAGCTAGGATTATAGGCGTGAACCATTAATACCTGGTACTTTCTTTTAATGGGATTTTAATTAGTATTATGAGATATGTTATAATCCCCTGAGTACTGGACATGCTACAATCCATCCTTAGCAAGGAATTATATACATGCATATATATGTGTATATCTAAATATATGTAGTATTAAAAGTTCAAGGAGTATCTGAGGATTAAAAAAATTAGAAACAGATCATATCCAAAATATAAAGGCGTGATTTAGGTTGGTTTGTTCATTTTCATAGAATCAAGAACATAGGCTTACCTGAGATACATCTGTCATGTGCCAGTGAAATCAGAGGCACATTGACTTTTCCTATGTAAAAATTCTCCTGTGTATCACTATCATCAAACACATAAAAACTCAGAGACTCTGACTTAAGGTATCGATCCAAATCCATATTCATTGGCACTGGGAAACACATATGATCATCAAACTGTGGATCATTGCTACTGGGAATGATGGCTGTGTCATGGTCTGAAAAATCAAAAAACTTGTACACAACATATGGGTGTGGCTGAAGGTGGCTGGTTCGGGACTGCAGTTGGTTGCAACATCTTATTGTAATGTGGAGTTCATTTAAGTTGCCATCTGTGGAATCTGTTGAACTGAGCTGAGCAGTTTTGGGTACTTGCTGACTTAACTGGAAAAACATACATATTTATATTATAGAAATAATACAATTAAAAGAAATAACTGTCAAACCCCCAACAATATAATTTATGTAAATGGACAAAAACTGTAGATTTTCACTTCAAAATTAATTTTTCAGTAAAAGAACCTGCAATTCTTATTCAAAGCCAATATTCCCCAGAACATGTGTGAACAGATGATCCTGTGCTGCCATCAGTGAAAATGAGAGACTGGATATTTGAGGAAATTGGTGCTGGTGTTCAATCAAAGCTTACTTGGGTATTCTTCAACCCTGTTTAATCACTAGAAATTAAAGTGAGTATCACTAATCAGCCACAGTGATGATTTGGTTATATTTGGACTGGCCCTCACTCTGAATCATTGGGCTATTTTTTTGGGAGGGAGGTTGGTCATGGGGCTTGAACTCTGGGCCTGGGCACTGTCCTTGAGCTATTCAGTGAAGGTGAGCACTCTACCACTTGAGCCACAGTGCCACTTCCTCCTGTTTTTCTGGTGGTTTACTAGAGATAAGAGTCTTATGGACTTTCCTGCCCCGGCTGGCTTTAAACCACAATCCTCAGATCTCAGCCTCCTGAGTAGCTAGGATTATAGGCCTGAGCCACCAGCACCCAGCACCATTGTGCTTTTTAAGAAGCAGGTATGTGAGGCAAGATAAGCCAGGATATGAACAAGAGAACAAAGTTAGAGATAAACCTGAAAGGGATAAGAAGGTAGAATTGGGAGGATGCTTCAGAAGATATGTAAGAAAAAGAAGTTACCAGGCAAAGCTGGGAGTTACTCCCTGATCCCTTTTGCAAATATTACTAAGATGGTTAGCACACAAATACTTGAGAAAACAATGGCACTGAGTGGATAACCATTCCGAGCTGGTGTAATATGGGACAAAGAAAATGATAGTGGCCTTGTTTACTGCTGGAGCAGTCCCTACCCCAAAGGAAACCTTTGTACTTCCAAATCTTGGCCAAAAAATAAGTATCTCTAAGTCCAAGAGAAGAGTTTTGGAGAAGAAATGGAGCTACAGTAACAATCTCCTTTGTGGAGGGATCATAGGGATTCCCAACAAAACTTTCCCAGGTCTAGTCCTCACTCAAGCTGTGGAGAGTGAATGGAACTGGGGAGTCTGAAAACCTTTGCACTACAAAACCTTATTTCAAATCCCCATTTCTGTATTAGTCTCTCCAAAAGTGTGTTGTCAAGTATACTCATGAGAAATATGATCTCTAGGAGGCAGGTGCCATTCCATCTTGAATTTGGGAATCAGTGTTGTATTAATCCTGAATTAAGAATTAAGATGTACTTATTTTCCATAAGCAGGCACTCTACCAGTGAACTACACTTCTAGCTCTTTTGCTTAGTTGTTTTTGAGATTAGGTCTCATGTTTTTGCCTGAGCCATCCTGGACACACCGATCATCCTATGTAGTAGGTTTTCCATGTAGCTGTGCCCACAGACACATGCTGTCATGCCTAGCTACTCATTGAGCTAGGTTCTTACTAGCTTAACCAGAATTCTCCTGATCTCTACCTCCTGAGTAACAGGAGTTACAGGACTTTTTTTTACAGTCATATTTCTTTAAATGAAAGCTATAGAAACTAAGCCATATAGCAAAAATAAAAATGACAGGATTTTAATGTAAGGTTAAAAGGGTATTTCATGGATCTCTATAGCAGAAATGCCATAGAAAGGCAGTGGGAACACCATAATTTACTGTTTGGCCTCCCTCTTTCTCTGAATACTCACTGACTCATTATTTTCTCCATTCATGCTAATTTTTCACTCTCTGGTGACTAACATGGTAGGAGATGGTTCCCAACAGCTTCCAATTATACATGTTCCAGGCATAAAGTGTCTTTTCAAAAAAAAAAAAAAGATCTTGGAAGGCAGAATCTAATTGGCCCAGTTGAGATTGTAAATTCCTAAATCATTAGTTATAACTGTGTGGAGCATGGAAGAAAATGGAATCATCTAACATAAACATTGTCTTTGGGAGCCAGGTCCCATAGATTGGAGGTAGGGATAGTTGTAAGGAAAAAGGTGAGATAATAATGACTTGAGCAAGACATTCCAGATATTTCTCGTACATTCTATCCCTTTGTAACTCAATACAAATGCTTACTTTGCTTCAAGGTGAGATGCACATTACATACAAAGTCAAGAATCTGTATCTCCTCTATATAGCTCTCTGCAATCAGTGGATCACAAAATCCATTTGGAAATATGGTCAATAGGACTCTAGGAAACAAGGTTTGGGAAGTGCTACTCTGAGGAATTTCATTTAAGCTCCCAGTTCTTGGCAAGTAAATATTCATTTTGTATTTTACTTTGCATTTCAGAAACTTAACATGAGGGAACAGTGTGAAAAAAGTACAGTAAGTGGCAGTCCAATCATAGTTGTCTATTTTAACAAAAAATTGCTAATGAAATATGATGTATGATAAAAGTACTATTGAGTACATGTTTCCAAATATCTTGATTGTGGTGATAGCTGTATGAAAATCCATACACATGAGGAAACTGCATAAAACAGCTAGCCCCCTCCCCACTCAAATGCATACAAAGACTGATAAAATATGAATAGAATATGTACTAATACCAATTTCTGAAATTTTTTCACTATATGCTACATAAGAATTCTTCCACTGAACGATGTCCTCAGTTCATTTAAAAGAATTTTACTTTGAGGGTCTTGCTAAGTTATCTAGTCTGGCCTTGATTTTATTATTCTCTTGTTCTAGCCTCCTGAGTAGGTAGGAGCATGAATCCACACAGCCAGCTTAATTTGTTACTTTTGATATTGTCAGGTAGAATTAGGAGAGAGTAAAGCATACACAGGTCTCTCTGTATTGTCTTGCTACTTCCTGTGAGTCTATGATTGCTTAGAAATAAAGAGTTAAAAAAAAGCCTACTTGATGTCAGGTGCTGGTAGCTCACACCTATTAAGTCCTAGATACTTGAGAGGCTAAGATCTGATGATCCCATTTCGAAGAATGCTAGGCAGGAAAAGTCTGTGAGACTATTATCTCTAAGAAAGCACTTAAAATAACCAAGAAGTAAAGCTGTAGTTCAAGTAGTAGAACACCAGTCTTGAGTGAAAATAGCTAAGGGACAATGTCCATGCTATGAGTTCAGGTCTATTATGGGTACAAATAAAGGCAGTTGATAACTGTGAAAGAAAGTTTCTGTTTAAAACATGACATATATAGAAAATATTATAAAGGTTTTATGTAATAAAAGGATCTTAAAGAAGCTTACTGATTGACTTTTCTCTGGTGCTTTAAGATTTGATGTTATATATCCCAAAGCCTTTGCCCGTTCTCGATAAAGTCGAATTGCCTGATCCATGGGTACTCTTAATCTGAACCAGTATTCCACTGTGCCAAATTTTGGGATGTCTCTTTTAGTCCCTACAAATCAATAAAACCCACTGTTAAAACAGCATCATGAATAAACTGTACAAGGTGATAGAAAATCTATCAGTGGTGCTTAAAGTATAAATATTATTTTGAGTAAAATGACTCGCACAAATGTATGACTGGCAAATAACAGAGATAAAAATTACTTAAGTATGAGTTTCACCGTATGTTAATATTATGAGAAGACTGTGTCTTGAGGGTAGGGCTTAGGAGGGAGAAAACTGAGGAGAAAGAAGGAAGGTTGACATTGACCAAAAGCATTGTACTTCATAATCTGATTTATGGAATTGTAAACTCTTGTGCAATTACTTAATGACAACAACAATAATAATATTAAAAGACTACGTATAAATCATGTACCTCAATCATTCTTTGACAATTTCAGTCTTTCTGAAATATAAAGAAAAATCAAAACCCTGAATCAGATACTTCATAGATTCTTCTGAATACTGTAGTGCTTTAAAGAAAAAGTTATATTCAATCTAGTCCAGTATTTACAATATGTGACTTCAAAATTATAAATATAAGTCAGGTGTGGTGGCTCATGCCTGTAAGGAGGCTGAGATCTGAGGATCGCAGTTTAAAGCCAGCCTGGGAAGGAATGGTTGTGAGACTCTTATCTTCAATAAACCACTCAGAAAACCAGAAGTAGCGCTGTGGTTCAAGTGGTAGAGAGCTAGCCTTGAGCTGAAGAGCTGAGGGACAGCGCCCAAGCCCAGAGTTCAAGCCCCACAACTGACCAAAAAAAGAAATTAGAACTAAATTTCAACTAAACTTTCAAGAAATCTTTGGTATTTTCCCACTATTTACTGCAAGTGTAGGAAGAACAATATGGCTGTGACAAATTTATTACATATTCACTGTGGGTAGCATGGTATTTGTACTGTACACACTGTTATTCTTCTTGACTCAGTCATTTCCTCTTATTTTCTGAAGACTTTCTTCTGTGGCTTATGGGAGACTTAACAGCCCTATACTTTATGGACTTGTGTGGCCTCCTCAAGAGTATTGAGCATTCAGCTTAACTGCTTACAAGTGTCCAGTCTGTCTACCACAGTGAAAGTTTTGTGAGCTCAAGGCCTGTAGTTCTCTTCAGTATATTCCTACCAGAAGTACTACTACATAAAGACTTCTCAATATTTATCAAGTACAAAATATTCTAGAAAAAAAACTTTTTTGAACATTAAGAATATTGCTCTTATTTCTGAAATTTCCTTCATGGTAGCAGATTCCTATCCTCAGATATAAGCACTATTTGTCATTTAAAAATGTCCTAGATTATTATTAATACACATGTATTTGCTTGGATATGCATAAGATGTCTTTGGATAGATTTGTGATTTAGGGTTAAGGGGTAGGGAGTGGCTACAAGATAGGACAGGAAAAAGGTGCTTTTTGAGCCATGCGTGTATTACTTATACAAGCCATCAACCAGTAAAATAAAATCCAAAGTTGGGCGCTGGAGGCTCACCCCTGTAATCCTAGCTACTCAGGAGACTGAGGTCTGAGAATTGAGGTTCAAAGCCAGCCTGGGCAGGAAAGTCCGTGAGACTTTTATCTCCAATTAATCACCAGAAAACTGGAAGTGGCAGTGTGGCTCAAGTGGTAGAGCACTAGTCTTGAGCTAAAGAACAGTGCCCGGTACCAGAGTTCAAGCCTCACCACTGATCAAAAAACAAATCCAAGACATGAAATCATTCTCCTTCCTGCTTGAAAACGCTTCCTAGTTGGCTTTACTGGTAGCACATATCCTTTATTCCTCCTCCTACACTACTGGTGATTCCTCTGTTTCCTTTACTGGTTCTTGCTCTTCCTGATCTCTAAAATATAATTCCCCAAGCTTAGTGTTTGGCCATCTCTCTCTCTCTCTCTCTGTCTCTCTGTCTCTCTCTCTCTGTCTCTTTCTCTCTCTCTCTCTCTCTCTCTCTGTCTCTCTCTCCCTCTCTGGGATCCCCGACTTTAATATCTGTTCTATATGTTAGGACTGTCACTTTTGTGTTAAAAGACTAAGTATAAATCATGTACCTCAATCATTCTTTGACAATTTCAGTCTTTCTGAAATATAAAGAAAAATCAAAACCCTGAATCATATACTTCATAGATTCTTCTGAATACTGAATACTGTAGTGCTTTTTTTAAAAATTACATTCAATCTAGCCCAGTATTTACAATATGTGACTTCAAAATTATAAATGTAAGTCAGGTGTGGTGGCTCATGCCTGTAATCCTAGCTATTCAGGAGGTTGAGATCTGAGGATCGAGGTTTAAAGCCAGCTGGAGAAGGAATGGCTGTGAGACTCATTTCCAATAAACCACTCAGAAAACCAGAAGTAGCACTGTGGTTTAAGTGGTAGAGAGCTAGCCTTGAGCTGAAGAGCTGAGGGACAGAGCCTAAGCCCAGAGTTCAAGTCCTACAACTGACCAAAAAAAAAATTATAAATATATTTTTCTTTTCAACTAAACTTTCTACTAAACTAATATGTTAATATGTTAATTGCTGTTCTACTTATGTTCTTTTTTATACTAAAGGTTCATTTAGCCTCAGTACAGTGTTCCTGCCCACAAATGAACTATCTTTGCTGTCATTGATAATGTCAGTAAAAATAGTGTTTAAATATATTTGTTTATCCTGTTGTTATCCTTGTTTAATAAAACGCTATTTGTAGTTTATTGATCATTTTTTTATTGTTGGCTATGGGGCTTCACGTTGGGGCCTGGGTGCTGTCCCTGAGCCTCTTTTGTGTTCAAGGCTAATGTTTTACCACTTGAGCCACAGCACCATTTCTGGCTTTTTCTGAATAGTTCATTGGAGATAAGAGTCTCACAGGAACTTTTCTGCCTAGGCTGACCTCAAATCACAATCCTAAGATCTCAGTCTCCTGAGTAACCACCAGTGTGAGCCACCAACACTTGGTTTCATCAAGTTTTGTATAAGACATGAGTTACTAAGTTTCTTGATTACTAGAACCTTGCTGGTCAGTAGCAAATAAGGCAAAAGCCTGCGCTTTATGTGCCCTAGCTATATATATATATATATATATATATATGTATGTATGTATGTATGTATGTATAATATGTATGTATATATACATACTCCTGACCTTCAGACTATTTTATCCAACTGCTACCTGATGTCTCCATTTGGATGTTTAATAGGCAGGTCAATCTTGTGTAAAACTGAATTATTTACTTTCCTCCTTGGATTATTCCTTCCCCTGTCTTCATGATCTCAGAAAATAGAATCACCATTTTCCTAGTGGTCCACGCCACAAATTCTCACCTTCTCTATTTCTCTCATTGACCCACATTCAGCTTACCAACAAATCTTGAAGACAATGAAATATATACCAAAAAATCCTATCAATATGTTCATAACTATCTGAATCCAAGCCAGCACCACTTTCCACAGTCAGTGCAATAAAGTGAGAATGGCCCTACATTCCTATCTTGCTACCTAAGATTAATCTTCCCACAGCACTCAGGGTGCTTTCATATAATTCCTAAATAATTTCAAACTTTCTACTCTAATCTATGAGGCTCAATAAATGGTCTGGTTCCCCTATAGCCATCTAATCTTTGATAAGGGAGCTAAAAAAAATAGAATGGAAGAAAGACAGCCTCTTCAGTAAATGGTGCTGGCAAAATTGGTTAACTACTTGTAGAAAACTAAAGCTAGATCCTTATATATCACCCTGCACCAGAATCAACTCCAAATGGATCAAAGACCTCGGAGTCAAAGCAGACACTCTGAAAATATTACAGGATGGAATGGGAGAAACCCTAGGTCTCCTTGGTGCAGGCCAAAATTTTCTTACTAGAGACCTGGAAACACAACAAATCAAAGAAAGGTTGGAAAAATGGGATTGCATGAAGTTGCAGAGCTTCTGCATGGCAAAGGACATAGCTAGCAAGATCAATAGAAAGCCCATGGATTGGGAGAAGATCTTCACTAGCCATACAACGGACAAGGGTCTCATATCTAAAATATACTTGGAACTCAAAAAATTAAATCCCCCAACAACAAAGCCTCAAAGAAACAACTGCCCAATAAATAAGTGGGCTAATGACTTAAAGAGAAACTTCTCTGAAGAAGAAAGAAGGATGGCCAATAGACACATGAAGAAATGCTCAACCTCCCTAGCCAAAAAAGAAATGCAAATCAAAACAACATTGAGATACCACCTCACACCAGCTAGAATGGCAAAAATCAAGAACTCTAATAACAACAGATGCTGGAGGGGATGTGTACAGAAGGGAACCTTACTGCATTGTTGGTGGGAGTGTAAACTTGTTCAACCACTTTGGAAAGTAGTATGGAGGTTCCTCAAAAGACTCCACATAGAGCTCCCCTATGACCCAGCAGTCCCACTTTTGGGCATTTACCCAAATGTTTACAAACAAGACCACACTAAAGCTACCAGCACAACTATGTTTATTGCAGCACTATTTACCATAGCTAAGATCTGGAACCAACCCAGATGCCCCTCAGTAGATGAATGGATCAAGAAAATGTGGTATATATACATAATGGAATTCTATGCCTCCATCAGAAAGAATGACATTGCCCCATTTGTTAGGAAATGGAAAGACTTGGAAAAAATTATATTAAGTGAAGTAAGCCAAGCCCAAAGAAACAAAGGCCCCATGATTTCCCTTATTTGCAATATCTAGTATATGTATGAGTCAAGCAGAAAAGGTCAGATAAGGTGATGTTAGGAAAATGAACCCTAAGATATGTATTTTAAATGTTTTTTTTCTTTCATGCATTTGTTTCTAACGCAATTATAAGATTATTTCTTTGTTGCTTTGTATGTCCTTCCCCCACAGTATAACCCCTGCTTTCACTGTATTTGATGTCCATATAATTTGTGGAAGGGAAGGGGAAAAACAAGTCGTTTAAATAAGAATACAGGTGGACCTGTTGCAACAATGAGAAGTACAAGTTGTCATGTCCAAAACGAACTTTACAACTTGGGGGGGGAGGAGGATTGGGTGGGGGGGGAGGGAGGATGGGAAGAGATGGGAAGAGTAAACAAAGGAGGAGGCTACAATGCTTGATAAGAAATGTACTCACTATCTTGCCCATGTAATTGTAACCCCTCTGTACAGTATTTTCACAATAAAAAAAAAAAATGGTCTGGTTCCTTTCTATTGGTTTCTTTGCTCCAGGTACTTGCCTTGTTTGTCCTACAATAAGATATGTTTCTCCTTAAGATCTTTGTTTTTGGTATTTACCCTGCCTTAAACCTTCCTTTTTGCCATGGATCATCATTTTGATTTTAGAAATGTCACTTTGTCATAATGTTTAGCTCTTAACCGAACTAGCAACCTTCCAGCTCTCTTTAGCTTTGTGCTCTAACTTTTCTTCATACTCAACTACATATACGTACATAAATACAACACATATACACACATACTCAGGTCCCAACGTGAAGCCCCATAACCAACAACAAAAAAATGATGAATACACTACAAATAATGTTTTATCAAACAAGGATAACAATAGGATAAACAAGTATTTTTTTTTTTGGGGGTGGGGGTTCGGTCGTGGGGCCTGAACTCTGGGCCTGGGCTCTGTCCCTCAGCTCTTCAGCTCAAGGCTAGCACTCTACCACTTGAGCCACAGCGCCACTTCTGGTTTTTTTCTTTTTGCTTATGTGGTGCTGAGGAATCGAACCCAGGGCCTCATGCATGCAAGGCAAGCGCTCTACCACTGAGCCACTTCCCAGCCCCCAAAAATATGTTTAAACACTATTTTTACTGACATTATCAATGACAGTAAAGATAGTTCATTTGTGGGCAGGAACATTGTACCTAGGCACCTTTAGTATAAAAAAGAATATAAGTGGAACAGCAATTAACGTATTAGTTAATATTAACAAGGCTAATATTAACAATTAACATAACAAATCATTGATTCAAACATCAAAACCTTACACAAACTGTACTTACCAACCAGAGTTGCTGTGCAAAATATCCTACCGCTTTTTTCTAAAATATCATGGAATCTCAATTGACATGCTGCGATTGTTTCATAATCTGTGCTGTAAGCTTGGTGAACTTCAAGAGTGATGGTATTTTTCTGAATATATTGCAAAAATAAGTCGTTAACATGAACAAGATACTGAGAAGTGAAGTTATATTCTGGGTGAAGGCCTCTTACGACAGGGGTTGCCTGTAGTTCAAAATCATAAAAAGCATATGTACAGAAAGTGACAGGCTCTTTATCTCCAGAGGTCTGCAAAACTTCAGGAGAAAAGGTTACTTTGTTGATATGGATTTCAAATAGATTTTCACCCCGTTCTAGGTGAATGGCTTCATCAAATTCATCGACAGAGTCATCTTGCATGATTTCTGGTTTGAATTTGTACTGCTTGGTACCATAGGCAATATCCTTTAATTGGGCTGCAAAAAAAGACACACAGTTCAGGGATCTTCTCGTACTGACATACAAGGTGCAGATTGGTCTCAGGAGTGGCAGCAATTCCCAGTGTCTATAAGGAATAGCTTTAGTTTCAGACTCTAAGACTGTTTTTATGTAACTTCATTAGAAAGAAATTCATGACTGGTTTTGACATCACTTATGAAGCAATAAGACTATTTCAAAATTCATACCACTGTAATTTGTCAGTTTACAACCAAAACAATAACAATTAAAGATAGTACAACTTCAATGTGACGAAGGCAAAACTCGGTAAAAGGAAAAGAAGAGCAAGCTTCTGACTGAATAGCTGGAGGTCATGGATCCCACCTGTTCCTTTCTGCTCTAGCCATTATCTTCTCTTAGCAGTTTCTCTTTCCACTGGCTCCCTCCCCATAGCTTAGTAAGGTTTACATGTTTCAACTTTGGTGGACGATAGATATGCTTATTATTTTGATTGTGGGGATGTTTTTATAGTTGTATATATAGACCAAGCTCACCAAATCTGTACTTCAAATGTGCAGCTTAAAGTACTTTAATTACACTTTTTTTTTTTTTTTTTAATCGGTCGTGGGGCTTGAACTCTGGGCCTGGGTGCTTTCCCTGCACTCTTCAGCTCAAGGTGAGCACTCTACCGCTTGAGCCACAGCACCACTTCCGGTTTTCTAGTGGCTTATTGGAGAGTCTCACATCCCTCCCCCATGGTATAACCCGTTTTCACTGTATTTGATGTTGGTATAATTTGGGGAGTGGACGGGAAAAAAACAAATTGTTTAAATAGGGATATAGGTTGACCCATTGCAAAAATGAGATGTGCAAGATGCTATGTCTAAAAACAAACTTTACAATTTAGGCAGGGGCGGGGAGGGGGATATGGGGAGGGAATGTAGTTGTGGAGATGGGAGGGAAGGGATGGTAGGGGAAAAACAGAGGAGGCAACAATGCTTGATAAGAAATGTACTCATTACCTTGCTCATGTGATTGTAACCCCTCTGCACAGTATTTTCACAATAAAAAACTTATTAAAAAAAAATCTCATGGACTTTCCTGCCTGGGCTGGCTTTGAACTGTGATCCTCAGATCTCAGCCTCCTGAGTAGCTAGAATTACAGGCGTGAGCCTCTGGCGCCTGGCTAATTATATTTCTATAAAGTAGTTTTTAAAAAGATTTATCTCTTTCAAACCAATTGCCAGTGGCCTATTCCTGTAATCATAGCTACTTGAGAGGTCAAGAATAGGAAGGATAGTCAGGTGCCAGCAGTTCACATTTGTAATTCTAGCTACTCAGGAGGCTGAAATCTCTGGATTGTAGTTTGAAGTAGGCCTTGACAAGAAAGTCTGTGAGACTCTAATCTCCCATTAACTACTGGAAAAATGGAAGTGGTGTTGTGGCTCAAAGTGGTAGAATGCTAGCTTTGAACAAAAAAGCTTAGGGACATTGCCAAAGCCCTAAGTTCAAGCCCCAGGACCAACACACACACACACACACACACACACACACACACACACGAAGATTGCTTAGAGGCGCGCGCGCACACACACACACACACACACGAAGATTGCTTAGAGGCACGTGTGCACACACACACACACACACACACACACACGAAGATTGCTTAGAGGTGCGCGCGCACACACACACACACACACACACACACACACACACACACACACACACACACACACACACACGAAGATTGCTTAGAGGCCAGCCCAAGAAAAGTTCAAGGAACTCTTTTCAACCTATAGCTGGGTATAGTGATATGCGCCTGTCATCCTAAACTAAATGGAAGGAGCAATGTGGTGCCAGGCCAGCCCAGGCAGAAAAATGTATGAGATCTCCACCTAAATGGAGGGAAGCTAGATATGATGGTGTGCACCTGTAATCCCAGTAATAACAGGAAGCTTAAAATAACTAGACTATGTCCATATGGGCAAATAATAGCAAGATGCTATCTTAAAACTAACCAGCTGGAGGTGTGGCTCAGCAGTAGAGTGCCTGCCCAGAAAGCTCAAGGCCTTTAATTTAAACCTCAGAATTACAGAGTAAAAATACATCTCTTTCTATGTACATTTTTAATCCTTGAAAATTAAATTTTTAGAAAAAATATTTTCAAAAGTGTTTCTAATCATGTAAGAGACATATTGCATTTTCCATGAACCTACTCCAGGAAAGGCCATCAATAACCAATTAACAACTAGAACCATCAACCCTGAGGCATTGTATTGTGTGATTCCTACATTTGAGGCTGATTCTCATCCTGACATGGCTTCCATGGCACTTCCATGTTCATGTTCCTCTCATTCTTTATAGGGTTTTCTTTTTCTGTTAGCTTGCTTGGAGCGGGGGGTTCCATTTTTAACTCCTCTTCTTAGTCCAAAGATATGCAAGAGTGATCTCATCCACTTTTATGATCTTTGTTACTATTAATATGACCAAAAAACACCCTTCTTCTTTTAGTGGTTCTAGGGTTTGAGCTAAGACTCCATGTGCTCTACTACTTCAGATATATGGGGGGGGGGGGTGTCTGATTGTCCTAGACTGCTATCCTTTTACCTATGCCTCCTGTGTAGCAGGGACTACAGGTGTACCACTACAGTCAGCTTATTTGTTGGGATGAGAATCTTGCTAACTTTTTATCTAGGCTGGTCTCAAACTGTAATCCTTCCAGTATGTACTCCTTAAGTAGCTGGGATTAAAGCTGTAAGCCACCATTTCTATTTTTAATACAGATTTCATTCCTAAATTCCAGACTCACATGTCTAATATTTTATTTTTATTGGATATCAAAGGCACATGCAACTCAACATACCAAAACTAGAACCTATCATATTGTCTTCTAGTTGTTTCTGCATTTTAAACCTGAAGTGATGGTGTTCACATTCACCCAGTTGTCCAAGCTAGAAAGCAGAGCCTAGATTCCATTTCCTTACTTCCTCATGTCTATAAGATTACTACTATTCCACACTATTTCCTAAAGCTTTTTCAGATTTATCCTTGTCTGTCTCGATACATCTTTTTCATACATTCGGACAATTACCTAGACTATCTCGGAACTCAAACCACTTCTCCAAAATGTAATACTGAGTGGATCACTCCCACATTAAAAATTAAATTCCTCAGTAATTCTCCAGGTTAACAAGCTTCAAACTTATGAAGGTACTGAACAAAGGCTTTAAGACTTTTCTTTCCAGTCGTATTTCCAGGTTCTTTTTCCTTTACTAATTTTCAGTTCAAGTAAGTTAGATCTACAGTATAGTTTCTCAAATGTATGAGACTGTTTTGTTTTGTGTTATTTTGATTTGAGACAGAATCTCACTATACATCCCAGGCTGGCCTCAAACTCACAATCCTTGGGCCTCTATTTCCTAATATTGAGATTACAGGTATGAGCCAACATGCCCAGAAGCTTAGGACATTTTCACCTACTTCACTTAACTGTCTAGATCCTACTCATTACTTTTAGTGGATATTCTGTCTTTTATTTCTACTGTGTTTAGTTTTCTTTCCAACCCTGAGGTAGAAATAAGCATTGAGTTATCAATGTTAGAATGTGTCCCTCAAAGTTCATGTGCTGGAAACTAAATCCTAAATTTAACAGTGTTCAGACCTGAGATTTTAAGAAGGTATTAGGCCATGGAAGCTCTGTCCTCATGAATGTCCTTATCATAAGGGCAGGTTTATTATAAAAGTGAGTTTTTCCTGTGTGTGCTCTTTCACCCTTCCGTTTTTGCCATGGGTGACACAGCACAAAGGCACTTGCTAGATACAGGCCACTTAACTTTGACTTCACAACCTTCTGAACTGTAGGAGAAAAATTTTGGGGGCTAGGGGTGCAGCTCTGTGATACAGTCTATGTTTAGCATTCATAGCATGCATTAAACTTTAGGTTTAATCTCTAGCACCCAAAACAAAACAATCAGTTATTTATAAATTACCAAGTCTCTGATATTTTGTTACAGCAGCACAAATGAATGAAGATAATACCTTTGGCTTTTCTTAGCTTTACATTCTTTATAGTAAAGTACAGCCATCTGTTGACTGGTCCACATCTTACTAGTTCATTGAGGGTGGTGCCTATTGTAAGGTCCGCCCCTGGATGGCAAGCAGACTCCACCCTCCTGGCAGCAAAGTCTCCACCCAGTACCTGCGTTACCTAGGCAACTGGGACACCTGGAAGAGGTCACATCTGCATCCGCTGAGGTCACATCTGAATTTGATGTGGCCACACCTTTCCCCGCCCATACCCTAGATAAGGGCTAGCTAGCCCAGGCCCAGACTCTCTCTTTTTCTCTCTGTTCGTTTCTAGCTCTTGAGCTTGCTCTTGCTCTTCTTTTCTAGCTCTCTTGCTCTTGCTCTTCTTTTCTAGCTCTCTTGCTCTTGCTCTTCTTTTCTAGCTCTTTCCTCTCTTTTTCTCTCTGTTCGTTTCTAGCTCTTGAGCTTGCTCTTGCTCTTCTTTTCTAGCTCTCTTGCTCTTGCTCTTCTTTTCTAGCTCTCTTGCTCTTGCTCTTCTTTTCTAGCTCTTTCCTCTTTCTTTCTCTCTCTGTTCTTTTCTAGCTCTTGCTCTTCTTTTCTAGCTCTCTCTCTGCTCTAGCTCTTCCCTCTCTCTCTTTCCCAGCCACGTGGAGTGCCAACCTTGCCTGGTCCCAGCAGGTCTACTGAATAAACCTACCCCTTACCCGAATACCACGTGAGTGCTACTGTTCTTACCCCTCTCTCTGCTCTTTTCTAGCTCTTTCCTCTCTTTCCCAGCTCTCTCTCCTTCCCAGGCCTTTCCCAGCCACGTGGAGTGCCAACCTTGCCTGTTCCCAGCAGGTCTACTGAATAAACCTACCCCTTACCTGAATACCACGTGCGTGCTGGTGCTGTTCTTACTCGGCTACCTCTTTTTAAAAACCTAACACCTATGTTTTTATTTTTTTCCTGTTTTCTTACTGGCTAGCACTCTGCTTAGGATGCATTAGGGATGTGATCGTGTTTATGGAATGAACCAATGAAATTTGGGGACAGATAAATCATGCTGGTAAAAACTTGCTAAGACTTGAAAGAAATGAGAATTTTTCATGTTATGACCTTCCTTTTAACCAAGAAAATCCCATTAGGCAAATTTTTGTTGGATATTACTTAGAATAAAAGGTACATACTGCTCTTTGGCCTCTGGAAATGCCTGTTCAGTCAGATAAAGATATTTATTTAGTATTCCTTCATAGAGCAGAGATCCTCAAAGTGTGGCCTGAAAATTTCTAAAGTTTTCTAAAATGGTTTTAGGGATCTAACTACCTTAATGATACTAGGTTATTTGCCTTTTTCATTTTTATTAGTTTATAAGTGTATAAAGCAGTTTTTTAGAGGCTCTGTGTGAGATCACAACAGATTAAACACTGAAGCACATGTATGTAATAATCTAGCTGTTTCTATTAGCTCAGACCCTAAAACAATTTGTAACAATGTTACAAACTTAAAATGTTAAAAAAATTAAAAATGTCATTGTTCTAATATGTGTATATATATATATTTACAAATTGACACTTTTTAAAAATAACATTATTTGTGTTAACATGTGACAGGTTTATTTAAACATAGAAGTAGTTTAAAAAGTTTCTAATTCAATTTGCAGTATGATAAGTATCAGTTAGTCAGTAAGTCATGAGCAACAGGCCTTTGGGATCCTCAATCATTTTTGAGGGTAAAGTTACTGCTGGCACAGGTAACTGAAGTATTGTAGGGCAGTGGACATGAAAGTATCTAGTATTTATTAGTAGAGAACTTACACTGTGTTTTCTGTGAAGGCAAAAACCTAGCAGCTGAGGAACATTTGCATTCTCTGCAAACATACAATTCTGAGTACACAACAGGAAACTACAAGAAAGTCTAGGTTATTGCTTTTCTAGGTACAGTTGCTCATCTGCATCGCAGAAGCTTCCAGTAAACTCTAAATAAACAAGATCATGGGCTCCAGAATTTCTAGGCTGAGGCCCTGGGAAGTTGTATTTTAAACTAGTTCTTCAGATGATTTTCTTATGTTGTCTTTCCTTTTCAGACAGGGTTATGTTATGTAAGGTGGCCTCAAACTCATTATGTAGACCCAAGCTGGCTTAGAACTTGTGATCATCTTGCCTCAGTCTCCTGAGTACTGAAATTTACAGGCATAGTCACTACACTCAGCTCCCTTAGATGACTGGCTAGAATATTTCAGGTAGGAGGATGGTAGTTACATGGAAGAGCACTTAGGTACATTCTGAAGCAGGGAAGGGTATTATCTGGAGGTCAAGGTAAAAAGGAGGTTCAGGGAGAACAAACAGCAGGAAAAGAACAGTTAGCAAATTGAGCAAAAGACTCTAATGAAGAGCAAGCTGACCTATTGGCTGAAGTGTATAATTTGCTTAGAAGTACAGTTACAGAAGTAAATTTGAGTCTGCAGTACTTTATGAGGTACTTTGAAATCTTGCCCACAACAATGATTTCAAAAAAGCAGTAAATCTGAAAAATTCTATTTAAAATTCTTGAGCAGAAAAGAATCAGATAAAACAGCCTTTCCAGTGACTTAAGTGTTATAGCTATAAATAGGGAAAGATAAAGCAAAGAGAGATTGTGAGTGAAGATTAGTATAACATTTTCAACTTTTATAAAATCTTTAGTTACTATGATCCAAAATGGTGTACATGGTACCTTCTAATTTCTGGATACGTGCAGTTCTGATATCAAGAAGATGAACATAATGCTCCATTTTCAGTTCATAATCTTGCTGCAAGTTTTCCATCTTTAGGGTCACCGCCTCAACTTCCATCTAAAAAAATCAGACGCAATCAGTTTCAATAATTAGTGTTAGTCTCATTTTCATTTTCAGAGCTCCTATTTTTTTATGTGGAATGCCAGGAGTTGTATACCATGGTTTCCTGACCTCTAATAGTTTATGGCTCTGAAAACTATGTTTGGCAATGTTCACAAATCATAAGTGAAATAAACAAAACTGGATTTCTTTTTTATGGAGATGAGTTTCTGATTTGTTAAATGCTAATGTGAGGTGGTTCTTGCACGACCTCAGGATAATGAATTCATCTAACCTTGTTACTGCTCATTCCCCTAAATAGTTGTAAACTATTTTAATTTCTCTTAAGATACTTATAAGCTAATTATTCCAACTACTTAGTTAAAGCCTAAATTCCAGGAACACAGAAATAAATAATAGTTGACAACTTTTAATAAGATTATCATAGGTAGTAAAATTCATAGTACTTCCTAGAAATGTAATCAGTAGAACATCAGAAAACCTTTCCTCCCAATTTAGTGCATTCTATTACCTGATAATCTTTATTAATTTTGTGTTGCATAATTAGCATATTTCTTGTCTTTTCAAGTTCTTGAACTGTTTCTGCATGAGTTGCCTGTAGCTCTCTCATGGAGCGTTCTAGATCTTTATTTATTTTGCCATCTACTTTCTCTAGAAAGGAAAGGTCTCCATTTTTTTGTTCCTTCTGAGCCTAAAACAAAAAACATGTTTTATTACTAAAATGAGAAATTCTAAAATGTGATCCTTTGAATTAAACTACATATAGCAGGAAACGGTAATTAATTCAAAATATATACTCTGTTTTTCTGCAAGGAATAATGTAGTGCTAATACACATATTTGGATAGAAATCTGGAACAATTACAGACATATTAAAAAAATTTATTGCTTCATGATACCAAAAAGAATCACAGACATTTGTTTGTATTTCCTCATTTGAATAAAATGTACAAAGGGATTTGAAAAGGAAGTAAGTATGTTTTCTTGTGCTGTAGATAACAGAATATCCCAGAGCTAGAAAAAGTCTTCTGGTTGTATTTATAATTCCATGTTTTACTTAAGATAACAGGGTTCAAACCAAGGTCTCTTAGGGAAGAATAGTATAAAAATAAAAGCTTAGTTTATACTAGGCCAGGTAAAAGTAAAATGCTTGTTACAGCCAAAGTGCTTTAAGTAACAAGTTTTTGAGGTTTAAATGTAATTTTGATGTCATAATGAAATATGCATATGTTGTAGTGAAATGTCACCTGAACACTGACTTAGGTCCTAGGAGAGGTGATATATGTAAAACATGCACTAAGTTTCAGAAGACTCACAAATAATTCAACCTCTAAATATAAAGGTTACAGATAAAAGTCATCATTATATTCAAATATATGTAGACATGTGATTCCTGGTCAAGTTCAAAAAGCTACCTTTATAAGCAGGAGAGCTTCACTCAGTTCATCAGCATTAATATCACTTTCCTAAAACAGATTAAATAAAACATCCTAATGAGATATTTATGAAAGTACAGGAGGCTTTGCAGCTAATCAGAAGATGCACAGAGAACAAAAGCTGCTTAATAAAGAGTTAATAAGTAATATGCTTGAATTGTCTTGTTTTGCAAATACTTTTGCTTAGAAGTATTTTCTCTATGCATAAAATATTGGGTATAATTTTGAAAAAGGAAAATAGTTCACCTGGTTAAAAAACTTCATGCGGTTTTTAAGTTCATCAAGTTGTTGCTTTTGTTCCAGATACCGTAACTGTAGGTCTCTATTCTCCTGAATGAGTTTCTCGTTTTGGTCTTAAAAATACAGTCAGTACAATTAGAAAGACAAGTGAGAATTAGTTCTAAGAGCAGATTATAGGTGAATTTAATTCCTGTTATATATCAAGCTTAATCTAGTAATGTTCAGGTCACAAAGAAGCTGAGCTAGTACCTCAACAAAGGAAGCAGGGGAGTGGAGAGCAAATGAACACTGTCATGTGTCTACCATATGATTCACTTGCTTATCGAAAACTTAAGACTTAAATTCATAGCATTAATATAAGGAAATTGTGGTCTCTGAGACTTCAAAGGACCATTTTGTTTAAAATGCTCAAGAATATGTTTCTAAATCTATGCTTTTCACTTAGTTATTAATGATCCTGAAAGGCATGCAAAAATATTTCTGTCTTCTAGTTTTATGATTGACTTCTTTGTATTTTCTTTTCCCAACTTAGCATAAAGCATAAAACAAGACAATGAATGATAAATTCAGAGCCCACAATTTAATCAGCAGTACTTTTAACAAATCTGTTCCAATAGGAGAAACAGATTCTCAACAAGGGCAAGGTAATATCAATAATTCATGTGTGTTCCTTATTCACTGAGTTCATGTTATTCATTAGCAGAATATGAGCTCAGAGCTATCTTTACAGAATGGATATGGTTACTTGTGTCTGGCCACTTATTCACTGTGGCCTCCAAGCACAAGTGTTAAGCAGAGCTACAGGAGATGGCAAATTTACTCTATGCATTAAACATGTTTGACTTTTTTTTTTTTAAGCGTAAGTACTGGCTAACAAAACCATGCAACTGAAAATTGCAATTTAAGTATACTTTTCCCAAGTGTCCACTGTGGTGGTCAGTTATCACTCTTGGTTGACTAACTTTAAACCGTGTCACTCAGAGTCTTCACTCCTTTCTTTATATTTGCAAACAATTGTGTTCATTGCAGGGTCTCAATTTAAGTTTTTTAAGAAAAGGAAACAAAATGCACAAAAGTCAATACATTTGCCAAGAATTCTTTCCATGAATGCATTTGCATTCTGACTGCATTTTATACAAAAATGTGTTTCTGACTTTTGTAAAGCTTTATGTTCCCAAGCTATAAATAATGTTAAACCATACAGTTAAGAAGAAACAAACTAAAATTGGACGTCTTTAATGTCACATATTTCCTAGCAATCTTAAAAGTAACAAATTACGACTCTAAAGTAAACAAAAATAAGAGACATTTTATATAAAAATGAAATTCCTATCCCCCCCCTCCTTTTTTTTAAAAAACGGACACCCTTGAACAAGCTAGTTAGGCAAGTGTTCTACCACTTGAGCTATACTCTCACGCTTTGTATTTTTCTTTTTTGGGGGAGGGGGACAAATTCTTCTACTGCAGCCCAGGCTGCCTTCAAACTTGTCAATTCTCCTGCTTCTGTTTCTCCTGGGTGCCTGAGATGACAATTGTGGACCACCATGTACAGCTTAAATATGAAAACAAGTTTGTCGTAATGATAGAAGATTCAAAGGCTATCCTATAGCATAATAACATATCTAGTGAAGTAAAGAATTTCCAGCAGGACTCTGGCAGTTCATGTTGATGATCCTAGGAGGCTGAGAGCAGGAGGACTATAGTTAGTTAGGGCACAAAATCTTGCTAAACTCCATTTCCAAAATAACCAGCAAAGGAGGAGGGCTGGAGGCAAGGCTCATACGGTAAAGGGCCAGCTATTAAGTGTAAAGCCCTGAGTACAAACTGTAGTTCTGACCCAAACCAAAACAAACCCAAATGTGAAAAATACCTGGAAATTTTGATGGTAAATGTCAAAACTTATTTTAAAAAATAGCATTAAAACAAATGTAAATTCCTATGAAGAAAAACATTTTAATCAGTGAGAATAAGACATGGAATTATTTATGTTGATTAAGTTAAAATAACTAGATAGAAGATTAGGCAGTAACAAAAAAAAAATTATAGAAGCATGTAAAAGTAACTACTGAGGACGACAGAGTTTTTTTTCTATTTCTAACACTTTTCAGGGCTCCAGAAGAGGGTTAAAGCAAGAGGTCAGGCTGTTCCATCTTGGTGCAGGCACAGAATGCATTCTGATTTCTTCCATGCTCCAGTTTTCCTATACTTTAAGTTTTTCAGAGCATTTCCTAAGAATGATATGCTAATAAAACAGGAATAGAGTTACTAAAATGTTTCCATCTTCTGCCCATTTTTGTTTCAACAACTATGTCCTTCTTTGTGCACTTTTAAAAATACAGGACCTGATTAGTGGGAGAGTATGTTAGTAGAAGACATCAGTATCACAGAACAGCAATGAACTCTCTCTGAATTATGTATAGTTACACATTCTACTTTTCCTTTCTCAAACTGTTCATTGAAGATATATAACTCTTGGGTTTTAAAAAAGAGGAAATAGACTTGCTGAATTATAATATGAAAAATCAAAGCATTCTGTACTAGATGAAAAATACCCTCCTTACTTATGATTTGACAAAAAGCAGGTTAAGCTAAACAGCATTTTATTAAAATGAGATAACATTTTGCTCTTTCAAACTTCTGTTCTTCCAGCACACCATTAATAAGCAGAGTGCAGCGAACAATTCTACTAAACAATTTTCAGAGCCCTTTTGTGCTAATATCTTCAGCTGTGATCAATATAACCATGTGCATTATGCTGAATTATGCATTTCAGCTAAAGATAGAATAGGACTTTCAAAAGCAAGCCCTTAAACACATGCAGTTAATTTAAGCATTAACCAAATGTGGACTGCATTTACATATTCTCCCCAACATATTCACACAATCTGAAACTAATTTGTACCTTGAATAAAGAGGTGAGTATTCTCTAAAAATAATTTGCCAGTTAGATGAATGACTACAAAAAGCTAGGGAAACATCTCTGGGCAAAGAACACTTGACACATGAAAAGAGAAAAGTGTGAGGAGACTTCAAAGTAGAATTAAACAACTGAAAACTGTAAAAGGGAACTTAATCAATATTGAAAGATTTCTCTAAATAGATAACTTCAATTTTTAATTTATTATTTCCTGGAAAAATGGCTAAGTGCTGTGTTATTTTTTAATGACTTATTGTAATGTCTTTGCAAAGAAATAAAAACTAAATCCTTAGACTGTAAATTTGACTATTCAAAGATAAATAACTGAAAAGTAACTGTTCTAGTTGTTCTTTTGAAAAGAATTGGATAATATAAAGATTTGTACAGAAAGATGCTGCTTATGACACTTAAACAATGAAGTTACTTAAATATTCACCAATGGAAGATTGTTAAATCATCTATGGGACATAGCTGACAACATACATTTAAAGTTGTACTCTAGGAACAATTTTACAGCCAAGTGTGGTGACATACTTTTACAATTCCAGCTACATTGGAGGCATAGGATGATTATGGTTGGAGGTCAGTCCTGAGCAAAAATGTAAGACCCTATTTGAAAAATAACTAATGCAAAAAAAGGGGGGAGGGTGGGGACTGGATGTGTGTGAGTGGGGACTGGATGTGTGTGAATCAAGTGGTAGAATTCTGCCTAATAAATGCAAGGCCTTGAGTTTAAACTTCATAATCCACCCCCCCCCCCCCGCAAAAAAAAAAAAAAAACACCTAATGAAATGATTTTACAACATAGTGAATAAAATATTAGCAGAGATTATCTTGAGGCTTGTGAGATTGAGTGACTTTTTAAAGAAGTTTTTGTTAGATTTCCCTCCTACCCTGCAGTGTACATGAACCATTTCATCATTTAGAAACACTCCTAAAAGATGAGCCTAGACTAGATTAAAAAAAAAAAATGAGGATGGACTAGGCAAATTTAAATAGCTTAGCAATTATAAGAAGTCATAGAATTTAACGAAAACTACAGATTGGAGAAAACACTTAAGAATTTCTTTCCACTGGGCACTGGTGGCACATGCCTGTAATCCTAGCTACTCAGGAGGCTTGAGATCTGAGGATAGCAGTTCAAAGCTAGCCTGGACATAAAAGTCCCCATGAGACTGTTAACTCCAATTAACCAACAGAAGACCAGAAGTGGCGCTGTGGCTCAAGTGGTAGAGCACTCACCTTGAGCTGAAGAGCTCAGGGACAGTGTAATCAACAAAAAACAAAACAAAACAAAACAATTTCTTTCCACAGACCAATTAGATGTGTAGGAATCAATAGCTTTGGAATTCTTGCTGGGGAAATACAGAAAGAGTAGAGGTAACGAGGTTTACTTCATTTCCTTCCAAGGATGAACAATCTATTTGGTTTTGGAAATAAGAGAGGGAATACAGAATACTATTCAGCAACTAAGAATTTACTGAGCAACTACAGAGACAAAGTACTCTGCTAGGTATGCAATATTCCACATTCAAATCAGGAATATCAAAAGTTTTAAACATCACCCAGTGAGAAACCATCACCATTTAGTTCACTTACTATCCTCTAGAAAAAAATATTCAGTCATCAAATTTAATCACTTGGTGAATACATATTGACTACTGTATTTTATTACAATAAAGGAATCTGACCACAATTTTATGGATTTGTTGATTGTATTTTTGAGGTAGGGCCTTTCTATATTCCCCAGGCTGGCCTTGAATTTATGATTTTACTAACTCAGCCTCCAAAAGTGCTGGGATTACAGGCCTCTCAAGTGTTTGTATAACAGGTATGATTGTATGAAACCTTTGGACAGTCTCGTGCAACTCAATTGCAAATACTCAAAAGAAGCAATGTTATTGTTATATTACTTGGTTTAACTAGCTGATGGGAAAACTGAAACAACTCTTGAATGAAAACACATTTTCTCCCTCTGTGCATTGTTTGAAGTGTACATGTATGTGTTATAATACTCTAGCTTGATGATTATTTTGGAAGGGACATGTATGCAAAGCTACCTGATACTTACATTTTCACAAAACAGAATTAGATGATTTTACTATTGGAGATCTTTTCTCCTCACCTATGAGAAACAACAAGCAACTACTTCGGCCACTTTGTCATCTGACACTGCAACTCTGTTATCTGTTACTGCTTTGCTTTATCCCTAACTGTGTTGCCACCACCTGACATATTACATCCTTACTAATTATTGTCAGTTTTTCCTTATTTGTTTCAGTCACTTCTGTGTCTCCAGAATTTAGAATAGTGACCAGCACATAGTGGTACTCAATAAATATTAGTTGACTGCTGAAAAAAAAAAGGCTCAGAATGAAGCAAAATTAAATTAAACAATATGAATAAAAGTAACTTGGAGAAAAAGTGATTCATTTGGGAAAGATGCTACTCTGAGAACAGGAAATTTTGAGCTACCAATAAACTCATGCAAGCAGACAGCACAGACAGCTGGGAATACAGGCTGTGTCTCAGGATTCGGAAAGGCAGCAAGCAAACAGTAGGCAGCACAAGTACTGATTGACTCAACAAGCCTGAAATGAGTACCTCTTTCAGTCTTTAATCTGTCAAGGACTTCGGTTTTGTCGGTTAAGTCAGATTTTAGGGCAGTCTCAAGCTGAGCAATCTGTACTTTCAGCTGCTGTTCCTTTAACTTCCATTGCTCTTCCTGGGCAGCACTGAAGGCACTGCAAAAACACACGTGACAAGCAAGGAAAGCCTGGAAATCAGCTTCGACCGAGAATAATAATGAGCAAAGCTTTTAGTGGCACAGAGACCACTGTCATCATGTCTTAGGAATTAAGTAAACATATGCTGGTGTGCTGCTGTTGAAACCAAGGCGCCTTTCTCAGGCTGCGGTTAGGGAACATGAAAGAGTCTGAGGGATGAGCAAAGGAACTGGCCTTAATTTAGAACTCTACAGTCAGAAAACTTGGCAGCCTGCAGCTTTTGTGGGACTAGTAAAGGAATTCAGATACTGTACACACTCCAGAGGAATCCACAATTCAAAACCTCAGCAACTGACACCGGGTAGAACCATTCTCTCCCATTTACAAGCCCTCTTACTACTGAGAAAATGGCCTTTCCTTTCTTCCTGATCTTGAATTTGGTGAAATTTTTAGTTTGTGCTAACTTATTCACAAAAATACTGGCTACAAAATGAAAGCATAGTGAACCATATGGCAGTAATTCTGATATGAATTAAATAGTGATAACGTGGCTCTATCTGGGAAAAAAAACAACAAAAAGCAATAGGCAAAGAACAATTTCTCTTGGAACAAACAGATGACTGGCATGAAACTAGTGCCCTATGTTTGATAAATAGTATGAAGACTGAATTACTAATTCTCAATAAAAGTATAGCAGTTTTAATTATGATTAAAATATCAGAAGGAAGAAAGAGATTAAAAAAATAACTGAACGTTACCCAGAAGGTATAAAATACCCATTCATTTACTCAATGGTTCCTAGGTGCTGATCTACATAACAGTGCTACCCCAGCTAGCAGCATTGCCACTCAGGGAGACTTAGAAACGAAGGACCCAGGGCGTAAAAAGTCATGTTTTTACAAAGCTCCCCAGGTGATAGCCAGGTTTTGGAAACACTGATCTTGATGTATTTCAGCAGAAAACCATTATCTGTGAAGCTCGATATGACTGAATAATCGTCAGCAGCTTTGACCCTTCTACTTATTTTAAACACAGTAAATGAGATGAAAATCTACCAAATCTGGTTTTCTACTGATGAAGTAAATGGAAAAGAGACATATTATTGAAAATTGCCTTTAATGTTGCTCCCAGCTACTCTTGAGGTTTTATTCCAAAAGAGATATCTGGAATAGCTTTAAAAAGAGCAATGCTGTATATTCATTTCACATTTTGAAAATTTTTATTGCATTTTCAATAATATGACATAGAAAATAAATGGAATTCTAGAAGCTCCTCTAAATATAACGTCTATTTCTTCTATAAATGGTCTCATTTCAAATATGGAATTTCAAAAAATACTTGGATTTGATATATCAATATTTTAAGTTAATTTTATCAAATGTACCATTATCTTAAATGAACTCCAAATTAGAAAAAATATACTTTTAATACTAAATAAACCATTCCTTTATAAGCTTATTTAAAAACAACAAATATATTTTGTGTCTGGCCAAATTATATTCACCTAATGTATATACAAATGCATGAATATCAGTATATGTTTGTGTATACATACATGTATATGTATGTATATGTCTTGTATTATTAAAAACATGCACTACCTCCAAAAAATTAACATGATGAAACAGGCACAACTATACATTATATCAGATGCCAAAAATGAGAAACAGTAGTGTTCCAATAGTATTAGTACCAGAAAAAAGATCACCAACAGCTAATCTGGCAGAAACATCAGAAGCTGTATGTGTTTAAATTAAGAACAATTTAGCAGCCTGGTTTTTCCAAACCCACAAAATACTAGTGTAAATCAGCATAAGTCAATCTGAATTTAGTCCACTGCTATCTTCCCTCTAAATTTAGGATTACATTCCATTGGAGTTTCATGAGGAATTCCTTTTGAATTTACTGTATTCCTCTATGCTTGGAGCCATCTGTGTAACTATAAATGGTGAGCCACATCTGGCTCCATTTTCTTTGTAAGGGCTGTACACATGATTAAATCTGCATATGAGAACAGTCTTGAAGAACTCTGTATTCATGAAAATGCTGTCAGATATTGCCAACAGTGACAACTAAGGGAGAATGATAGTCTTTGTACCTATTTTGCTGTCATATGATGTTACAAGAGTGATAAAATGGCAGTGTGTCCTGGAAGGCCTGTGCTGTTGGTGTCTGTGGTCACTGCCATGCCAACTGGCATCTCTGGGCCTCAGCATACTGTGTACACACACACACACACACACACACACACACACACAGAGTGGTCACTGCCATGCCAACTGGCATCTCTGGGCCTCAGCATACTGTGTACACACACACACACACACACACACACACACACACACACACACACACACACACACACACATCCTTGATCAAAGACATGATAAGCTCAAAACAAAATCTTGAAGATTCTTCTCCACTCTCAAGTCTTCTTTTTCCTAATGGAAAAATGTTCAAAGACAATGAAGCAAATTCTAAATCATCCATAAAGAAATCCATAGGTACTTTAGTCAGGAAGACTGCAGGAGAAAGGTGGTCTCTTTATGAAAAAAAAAAAAAAAAAAGCACAAAAAATCCACAGGTGGTCAGCAGTGCTCTTAAATTTCAAATATAAACTTGGTCTACTTAATTCTTAAAAGGGTTATTATAATCTTCAAAAACTAGATAAACATTGAAAAAAGTTATTTGTATATAGATCAAATTTATTAGTTACATATCTTCCAAGTTATAGTAACTTAAAAAAATGAAACAGTTTTACCATATTATGGTATGAAGTCACTTTCTGACCAAATAAGACTAAATTGCAAAAAATTTATTCTGAACTTTCAAATTCAACATTTCTTAAACTTCTTATTTCTTGGCAGTTTATCAAAAATGCTTTAGTGTATTAGAAAAGGCTCATACCAAATATTAACATGAGGATTTTATCTTATCACACGATTCTCTAGTATTTCATATGTCAAGTAATAAACACATTCAAAATTTCATTTGAGAAAGGAGGATGAGAATGCAATCTGCAAATCATATTTTTTCTCCTGAAAACTAGCCAATTTTGAATAACAAACAAATGCTCGTCTTAAAACATGCCACCAGAATGACTCCCAAGCAAGGAGTACATGTACTTTTTGACAAACATTAGCTGTTAGCAGTACTGAGTAATAGTGAAATGAAACAAAAGGGCTGTGAAATAATCTTAAGAGATATGGTGCCTTTGTAGTTACTCCCACCATGCTTCTGAAAACATATATTTGTAAAAAATCAAATTAGTGAATTTGATAGTTCTACTGTACTGTTAGGTTTTGTGCTTACATGCCATTCATTTTTTTTAACATTAAATGTTTTGACACTCATTACACACATTTACTTCCATTCACCTCATATAAATTCAAGTATAAACAACATACTGAAGTCTGTTTTTAGTGTGACAGAAAAAAAATGTAGCTCAGGCATAAAACATTAAGCAAAAGCCTTCAAAGCTAGATTTACACTCTTAGATCATCTTCTAATATGGAAAGATAAAGTTTTATGGTGATTAAGTAAATATGAGAAAAATATGTCTTGTCAAAATTCCATTTATGTATTAGTCCCAGCTATGTCTGGTGCTTTTTATTTCAAGAAAGTCTGTTTAGTAAATTCTCAAATTGGGGAAAAGCAGAAAATTTAGAAGGGACAAAGGACACTTATTTTGAAATTACAAGATGTTTAAGATAAATAGAAATCTATTTCTGTTGTATGGCAGTTCCCTTATTTCATGTATGTTTTCCTTTCACATGAACAATTTTCCAGCACAATTAAAAGACATAGCAAGGCCCTGGGGAAAAAAATTCAAGCTTTAGAGTAAATAGGATTGGGTTTTATATCTTCTACTGGACTCTTAGCAGTGTTGTATGACTCTATTCAAGTCTCCATTTTTCCTGCAGTCTCAATCCTTCATTTATAAAACACTAGAAAGTTATCTCTTCTGCCATCTAACAGGGTGCTATGTAATCTGTATGTAAACACATAATGACTAAATAACTGTTAGATACAAATAAACATCTATGTATTATTCTATTGAGATGGAAATATAAAACCCAAAGGAAGATATTTAAGTAAAATTAATTTCGCTTAACATCATCTTATATGGTCATATGTACATAGCCTTTGACCTTCTCTGCTTGTCCTAGACATGTACTAGTCATTGTAAACAAGGGAAACCATGGGACCTATGTTTCTTTGGGCCTGGCTTATTTCACTTAATATCATTTTTTCCATGTCTTTCCATTTCCTAACAAATGGGACAATGTCATTCTTTCTGATGGAGGCATAGAATTCCATTATGTATATATACCACATTTTCTTGATCCATTCATCTACTGAGGGGCATCTGGGTTGGTTCCATATAACCCCTGTTTTCACTGTTTGATTCAGGTGTTCTGTTTGTAATTTGGGGAGGGCAAGGGATATGGTGGAATGCTTAAATGAGGATGCAGGTTGACCCATTGTGATGATGAGATGTACAGGACACTATGTTGAAAACAAATTTTACAATGTTGGGTGGGGTGGGGTGAGGGAGGAATTGGAGAGGTAGGGAGGGAAGGGATGGTAGGGGAAAAACAAAGGAGGAGGTAACAATGCTTGATAGGAAATGTACTTATTACCCTACTCATGTAACTGTAATCCCTCTGTACAGGATTGTTTATATATATATATATATAAAATTACAGTTGATGAAGAATGGACCAGAATAAACCTTAAAGCAAAATGACCTGGAAAGAGATCCAAGGCAAATCCCACATGAAAACTTTTGGCTAGTTCACCTTGTTGGAAGGCCCTAAGTATTATGTTAAATGGTATCCTTCTGGTGGTATCCCTTTTTACACTGAGCCACTGTACACAGTGAAAATTAATACTTAAACAGTATAAATGACACAATAATTGGAATAATGATTAATTTAACATTAACCCAGGTAATGTTTAAAAGTAACCAAAATAAAATCCACACCTATACTTCTTTAGGTAGGATACTTCTAAAGTGTAAATTTAATTACACTAAACAAATTTAATTAACTACACATGAAGCAGACTAAAGAACCAACATTTAAGTATCCTTTTAACATTTATCTTGGGCTAAGATAACCGTGCTTCTCTCCAACATACTCATTCTTGGGTATTAAGATGGGGAGCCCAGTGGAGAGACCAAAAGAGGTTCAACTATTACTTCAGGCCTTTAAGAGTAAGAAATTTCTCTCAAAGTTATTTCATTCTGTTTTACCTTGTCTACAACCTGGATGTTTACAATGTCCACATTCCAAAGTGTTCTGAGGATTTTATTAAAGTGAATGCAGACTACTTAGTAGTGTTTGCTAGCCCATCATTTGTGTTCAATAAAGGACTGGTGGTTACTGTGACAAAACAGGATGGTTTTTGGAGCAGTAATAGACTACTGGTCATGTTAAAAAAGCTGACTGCCATTATCTTAACATTTATTTTTCATTTGTAAAGGACATATATATAATATATGTATATATATATTGCTTGCTATCCTCTATCTTAATTTTTCAATCTATATTAGATATTTTAACAACAAATGCTTTGATAAAAAAGAGCTCAAATAAGAGAATGAAAGAACACATGGAATTGTGATTTACCTGTTATAAAGTTTATCATAGTTTTCCTGTAAAAGTTCCCGTTCCTTTTCTAAATCATTAATTCTATCCTGCAGCTAAAATGAAAATAAAATTACAAAGAGTTTCCATAGTATAGTGGTTTGCACTCTAAATTGTGAAGATAAAATTACAAGTTAGGTGATTATCATATAACAATACATAAGGGTAAAACAACTGAGAAGATAACATATTTCAGTGTTGACTTCCAAACTGCAGTTGTTAACTAGACCACTTACATTGTCTGTATTTAATTCAGCACTGATTTTCCCAAGTTGTTAAATAAACATGAAATTAATATTTCTGTTTTAATTTAGTAGAAACGTATGCACAGCTTTATAACAACATGTGCCAGGACTCAATAAAGAAGGTGTTAAGAGCATGCTGTTAAGTCCTGGGAAACATAATATTTTTTATTTTCCACCATGATGAATTCCATCATTATATGCATTTGTATTAATTTTCAACTGACTCATAAAAATAAAGGGATTAACTTTTCTTGAACTTCATGGTTCACACAAACTGTGTCAATCACTACTAAATCTGAAGGTACAAGATCTTATGTCACGTGAAATTTACAAATCTACATAAATAAAATTCTGTGTTTTATCCCAGTGAGCAATATTTTCAGAAATAAACTTGGAGTCACAATTACATCCTTATGACTAAAATATAGATTTTTATACTGTTCTTTATGACTAAAATACAGACTTTCACACTTTAGCATTTAAGGTTTTATTCATAAGTATATTTTGTCATCATAACTTTTTCCCTAGATAAGAGTACCCTAAAAATTCATCTCCAGTCTCAAAATTCTCTTTGGATGCTAGTAAGAGACAGTAAAAGCTTCTCCCTAGACAAAAGTAGAATGAAAGCAACTTATTTTACTTTTATTTTCCTTAGGAATGCAAGTTTAAAGATGGCAGAAAAAAAACTGGACTACTTGGAAGAGAGGAGTAGCAACAAAAATAGAAAGGCAAAATTTCAAGAAACTTCTTAGGAAAAATAGCTCAGATAATTTCACAAACTTGCAGATATTACAGAACACAACTGTATCTCAAAAACAGATATATTTCTATAATTTTGTTTTTGTGTGTCTCCAATGTCTAATAAGCGGTCGTGGGTGAGAAAGTTAAGTTCCATAGGTAATCTGGCATTAGATATTATGTTTTCATTTTATGCAAGGATCTTTAATCCTTTAGGTAAATAGTAGATCTCAGCACATTTCCAAATATGGTGGACACTGATTTGCCATTCATATGTTGTATTAAAAACTATGTTTTACTGTGCTCAAACATTATATGTGTGGTTTAGAATTTTGAAGTAAGTATAATTTCAAAGCAGTGAAGTTTTAATGTAACAAATGGCTATACTCTTTGGGAGCTTACCTCTTCTATTCTTCTTTCAGAAAATTTCATGGAATGTAATTGTTTCTCAAGACTGCAGCATTTCAAACGCTGTTCTTTGAGTTGCATATTTAGCTCATCTCCATTTGCCATCAATGCATCATGGCTGATTCTGAGAGTTCTTTGCTTCTAAAAGTAAAAGAGAAAAAACTGGAGCATTATTTTTGCATTATGCTTTGGAATAAATTACTATAGCTATCTATATGAATTTAGACTTCTGCAATGTAAGTGTGCTACTTACTCAATACCCAACAACACTCAACCCAACAAGAGGAAAACAGTTATCTTATTCCAAAGTTACATAATGCAGCTTTCTTCTCATTTATTTGCTAGTTTTGTCTTCTTGATAGTGACCAATAAGTATATTGGTTTTAGCAATTACATTTTTTCTTTTTACTATGGTTATAGTGATTTGGACATGTTATTTAAAAGTGCTGCAGCATGGTTCGAAATGCTGATTACTGATGTACACTGATAGAATTTGCTATCTCATCCAGTAAACAGACTTCAATATTTAGCTTTTGCTATAATTAAGTGAAAAATTTCAATTCAGTAAATAGTTATAAGCTCTTCTTAATCTTAAAAATGGTATATTTATGAAAATGCTTCAGACAATTTTATGTCCTTAACTGTCACATACTGTTTTTAAAAAGTAATGTACTCTTTACTTGACTTATGAAATTGTAACCCATCTGTATATCCCCTTAACAATTAAAATAGAGACTTTCCATAGAGAACATCTGACCATAACATGCAACATCTTACTATACAATTAGTCACTTAAGTTCTACCAAAAGTTTTCCTATGTTATTTAATGGAAATGGAAATGAACTATGCTAACTGGTGGGCAGGGATGGGAGGAGGAAAATAAGGGAAAGCAAAGGAAGTAGTGACATTGTTCAATAAAAGTAATGTACTCATAAACTGACTTATGAAATGATAACCCCTTACTAACAATAAAATTATATTAAAACACAAATATGGCTAAGATTGGGGGAGAGGGAATATGGCTCAAATGGTAGAGCACTTGCCTAGCAAGTGAGAGACTTCCCCACTACAGTAAACCAATTAATCCCTTCTTCCCCAAAATAATACAGGTGCACATGCACGCATGCGTGCGTACACACACACACACACACACACACACACACACACACACACACACACACACACACAGAGCCAATCCCCCTAACTAATAATACACACATGCATGGATGACACACACACACAAACTAATAACACTAACAATAATGATAAGACAATGACAAATCCAAAAAAACATGGCTATTTAGCCACATTAAGTTAATTTTCATTAATCCTGGAATTACTGTATAACATTATCTTTGGCAAGTTTCCTATAGGCTTCTCACTTCATTGAGACTCTTGGATTAAACTGACACAGTGATTCATGTATATTATAGTAGATACTGTTATTGTTGGTATTTACAGAAATACCTGGAGTAACTATTGAAGTCAAAACACTGATAAGAGAATTTAAAATATTCTTTAACTCTTTTCTTAATTTTTCATTTTAGAAACTGTTTTCAACTACGTATGTTTTTAATTTTCTCTTATTTAACTGCAGATCATGCTACCATTCCCACTTGCTGCACTCTACTCATAGAGACTAACACATTTATATGAAGGGTAGTTATTTAAGGAAGTTCTTCCTGCATGATGGAAATACTACATAGAATATGGCTGAAAAATACTGAACTTTAAAATTCAATAGTGAACTTAGGCTTCAGATGACCCTTTGCTTTATAGCAATTTACTGCCTTTCCTGCTCCAGTACTTCAAAGAAAGTAATGCTTAGTATAAATTCTGCACATCTGGAATATTTTGTAGTTCATTAATTCCAGAGCCCATGCTAATTATTCGATGCCAATAAATAGTAGGCCTCTGATGACACATTTCTGTGGGGCCACAGTCATCTGAAAAACAACTATGGGGTTAAAGAATCCCTAAGTATTGTCAAACTGAATTAAGTTTTAAAATAAAGACATTGACAGCTGACGTCGTTGATACTCAAATATCTTCTGATAATGGTGGTGACCAGAATAACCAAACTAAACCATAACAAAGCCCACATCAAAGAATGATTAAAAAATATGATTACTGACCTATTCACCATTCAGGTTTATATTTGATATTTAATAAATGCACATAGCTGAAGAAAATACAAATCCAGTGAAATCTTCAGTGACATGAGCCCATAATAAACTCAGGGAAAAGGGTTAAGGATAAATTTTAATGAATGAGATACTTTATGACAGACATGTTTATAAGATGATGGTGATTTACACAAAAACTCTCATCAGTTAATTCTTAGTTAAGTTACAAATAATATGCGAATAGAAATTACACAATTGAGAATAAATGAGCAGTCTTAAAATTATTCTTTAGTGTTGTACTTTTTAAGAAAAATTATAACTTTACACTATTTTTGGATCCTTTTCATCTATATATTATAATGAAATTAATTACCACAGTACCTCTTGAAGCTGAATAAATTTTCCTTCCATTACTGAAAGAGCATTGCTTTTCTCTCCTAGTTGTTTGTGAAGCTTAATCATTTCTACATTGTCCCGAATATTTGACCTTCAAAGTTGCATTTAAGAAATAGACATAAAAAAATTCAAGTTAAAAGAAAAAAAAAAACTATGGTAGCATCACAACTTGTCAATTAATGTTACTTGCAAAATGTTTATACACTTGCTTCTCAGTCACTAAGGTTTTCAGATTATTATAAATGTAAGACATTATTTATTTAAAAACCAACCAATAATCATTCTTAAACTTGTATAAACAGGTTGTGTGTGAGCAGAACCACCTAACCTGATAGTATTATTTCTACAGCAAATAATAGTATGGATTTAAAGTCATTGTAGAATATCCTGAATGATGGCACGAAAAGACATCAGTTTTTAGCATAGCAATGATTCACCACTACACTTGACATTTATTTGGAGGACAAGCATGAATGCTACTTTTCCCTAAAAGAAAATACGTAATATAGCCATTTATCTCCCTACCATTCCCTTGAAGCAAAATGGTATCATAAGATTACCATTTATTGGAGTTTCCTCTTGGAGTTTAAACTTTTCAAAATATTTCCAAAAAAAGTGACTTAGCATTTTATAGTAATAATGCCCAAAGCTGGCATTTAAATATGTTGCAGATGTGCCTTTAGCTGTAAGAGATTATTTGATGTCCACAGGGTATATAGAAATCCTATATGCTGCAATACTATTTTCTATTTTTCCTACTGAGATTAAAGCACATGTAGAATTTAACAGGAAGATCTTGTTAAAGGTTAATCATAGATCTAAATGAATACCTGTTTTCAAAAGGCACTTATTTTCTCGACAAAAAAAATGTCTTTAATGGTTTACATTCAGATACATTTTTAGAGCTGTGAAGCTTGATTTTTTAAGAGTTCATTCATTTCAAGAAAAATAAATGCAAACATTAAAATTCAGAAAATTATTTTGGTATTTAAAATTAGGTTTTTACTTCCAAAACTTATCTCATGTACACATATTGGAAAAATTGTCACAATGCCCTACTGGAACCAGCAAATGGACTACAAAGCTTACACATCTGTAAACCAGCTGAGGACTTGAAATACTTACTTTTCCTCTTTGATATTTGAAAGTTCATTGTATTTTGGCACTGGACAGTTAGTTGTCCTCATAGAGAAGATAAACAAGTCCAAGAACTTGGATTTTGCCCAGGGTGCAGTCTTAACACAATGTTAAAATAATTATGTGTCTAAAACATGTTATCTAGCAGTTCTGAACACACATACAACAGTAAACTCATTGTTCTTTCCCTCAGTGTATTTATGAATAAATGTAATATGAAGAGAAAAATGTATTTTAAATAAAATATATTTACATTGTTTTCATCCTAAATATAGAAAAATGTTTGAAGCCAAAACATAACTTATTGTGTTCTTTAGAATTACTCAGTGTCCACTCAATAATGAGTGACACTTATGCAAAGAGAGAATGTGATTCAAATAATTTAAAATATTTTGTCATATCTGTTTTTTCTTTTCCTTTTTCAGTACTAGGGGTTCAGTGGTAGGCAATGTTTCTGTGTTTTCAAACACAGTATTTGCTTGGTATTTTCAGGGAAAATCAAATATATTTTTAAAGCAACTATAGCTTAGTGTTAGTAACAAGCAAATCCTATAATTCAGCCATAGAGAGAAATAGGTTTTAAGTGTGAATTTTCTTTCAAAGGCGAAGGAAAGTAAGATTTCAGTGGCTTAATTGTGGATGCTTTTTGAACATTTTCCTTAACCTTCTGTAGCTTCCATTTTTTGTAATAATGACAAAATTAAATGAATAATGCCCAACAGTAGACACAAATATAACATAAACAGTATTTAGAAAGTAGCAATAATTATATGGTACCTTAAATAAAGTCATTTTCCAGAGTATACTTATTTTGAGACAAAGTGAAACCTAAAATTATTTTTCAGTATTACTTTGATGGACATTTCACATGATAGTTACTGCATGTTATTTGAGAAAAGATGAGAAGATAAGGATAATTTACAGAGCTAAAAGTAATGGTCAGAGATATAAAGTCAAAGTCAGCAATGTAGTAATTGTAATATGGTCTATAAGAAGGTATAATAAGATCACTTCACACTTGATAATGAACTCTTAATTTTCACAAAGATCAAATTTGGTAATCGAATAAGGATGAAGGATAGAAAAGAAAGAGGTAGGGGGCTGGGAAGGTGGCTCAGTGGTAGAGTGGTTGCCTTGCATGCCTGAGGCCCTGGGTTCGATTCCTCAGCACCACATAAGCAAAAAAGAAAAATGCCGTTAGTGGCACTGTGGCTCAAGTGGTAGAGCCCTAGCCTTGAGCTGAAGAGCTGAGGGACAGCGCCCAGGCCCAGAGTTCAGGCTCCATGACTGGACCCCCCCCCCAAAAAAAAAAAAAAAAAGAAAGAGGTAAGGAGAGGTCACAAAAAAGATAACGAAGAGTGTGAGAAAGATATCAGAAGCAATAGTGAGTTATTGGTAGACAGTCCTGGGCCCTGATGTCCATGGAGGCAGGCCTTAGGTTGGTCTCTTTTGAAGAAGAAATGTAAAGCTAATTTTGTTAGCAATATTTTAATTGACTTCCATAACACATTTAATTCTGCCCTCTTCTACATACTATGATGGAACACCCAATCTTTAAGATACTGACAATCTAAAAGAAAGAGCACTGCATGATAAAACATTCAAATGAGCTCTGACAGTCATGCACCAATATGTGCTATATTACACATGGTGAAGTAATTTGCAAACAGATATTAAGCATACTAATTGTTTTGTAAAAATTCTTAAGTTTTTTATCAAGAATTTTGGACAAAATCATAAGTGATTATGTTGGAAAATGCACTTTTCTGTGCTCTCTTTTTACAGACATGATTTAAAATTATCACGGAGTCTTCTAAAAACTATGAGAAGGACTGTTGGCCCATCTCTAGATTAAAAACAAACTAAAATAAATTAGATTTCATGTTGAAAAAAGTAATCCAGCTCAAAAACCTGTGTGCCAAGTTTCTCTCATATAATTTGAAACAGTCAAGCAATAAACTCTGAAAAAGAATTTCTAATGGAAGCCTTGAAAACACTTGACTCCAGTTTTGCTACTGGGTGCCATAATAAATCCAGAAACTTAAAACCCTAGATACACGAAGGCAAAACTTTCAGTGGAGCTCTGTATAGTCTAATATGAAAGCTTAAGAAGCACAAATCATTGCTCAGCTGAAAGTTTCATATATTTCATTCCCTAGTCACTCTAAGTTCCCTCCTCCAGCCCCAACATTTCAATCTTTATTAGAACAAGGATTACAAAAGCTAAAAGAAGCCTCTTGATTTTTTGAGACTAGTGTGTCATAATATTTATCATCATTTAGGGTTTTTTTTTTCCTTGCTAGTACTGGTATTTGAACTGAGGTTTTTGCAATGGCCAGCACCCAGCTAAATATTTAATACTTATCTGTATCACAGAAGCTAGGTCTTGAGACTCTGGGAATGTTTGGTCAAATTCTTAAAAGATATTACGGACAGAATCTTAGTAAGTAATAGTTTTAGGGTCACTAAATAAGGGTTGGGCTGAAAACAACCTTAAGGAGAAAATGAGTTGTTAACAGAGTAGAAAACTACTCACCCATCTCAATTTATTCATTTCACAGTTCAGGTAGCTGAGGCTTAGAGAAGTAAAGAAGTTGGTCAGGGTCCTTAAGTGATGGAGACAACATCTGAATCTACTTTTAAGAGCTAAATCTTCCCATTCTTTTTAACTTGCTTTTGTCTTTTAAGATGTTCCTTAGTTTTAACTTTCCCTCTAGTGTCATTATATGCTAATATGCTAGTTACTATTAAATGATAATTTGTGTGGTTTATATAAAATGTTGGTAAAAAAATTTAAAGCTACTATCTCAAAAAATGCTATTTAGGATATTGAGACAGGAGTTTCTTAAAAAATATATTAATAATGAAAACACAAGGGTACAACAGCTGTCACAGAGCAATTTTCTAAGCTATTCAAAACAACAGTGAAACTTGGGTGAATATATTTTTAAAGAAATGCCAGATCATCCCCCTGGATAATAATGCTTGCATAGTTATCCCTGGCCCAATTATCACTTTCATCAGAAAACCAGATGTGCTCTCTAAATTATGAGGCTGGGCAATCAGCAAGTCCAAATGGAGGGGGATCTGCAAACAACTCTCAATGGGCTGGAAAAGAGGGGGACTTACTCTAGAATAAAGGAAACTTAAAAGACATGACAAATTGCCTAGCTACTCAGGAGGCTAAGATCTGAGGATCATGATTCAAAAGCCAGCCCAGGCAGGAAAGTCCATGACACTCTTATCTCCAATAAACCACCAGAAAATTGGAAGTGGTGCTGTGGCTCAAGTGGTAGAGTGCTAGCCTTGAGCTGAAGAACTCAGGGATAGAGCCCAGGCCCAGAATTCAAGCCCCACCATTGACCAAAAAAAAAAAAAAAGAAGAAGAAAGACATGACAAATAAGACATATGACCTTCAATTGGATCCCAAATCAAAGAAAACAGAGTAAGACAAGGCCTATTTACTAAAAAAGAACAGTTATAAAAACAATTTGGATATAGAGCATGTATGAGACAATGCTACTACGTTGTTCATTATTAAATGTTTTGAACAGCTGTTATGTAGGAGGTGTCTTAGTTTCTTGAAGACACTTACAAGGGTATAAGGGGTGAGGTAATATGTGTAACTAATTCTCAAGTGGGAGAAAAGGAAGAAAAGATGGGAAAGAAGAAAGGAAGAGGGAAGAATGATGAAGGCAAAGAGAAGAGAGAAAAAAGAAGAGAAGAGGGGAATAAAAGAGAGAAGAGGAGGGGGAGAAAGGGTTTGTGTACAGCTTACAGAATGAAGAAAAATGCTGTTGTGCCATATACAGATTTGCCAAAAGATGAACAGTATGTGAGTACTCACCATACTAGTCTTTCTACATTTTTGTGTGTTCACAATTTTTCAAAATGAAAATAACGGAGAAGAACATGGAGTATTAGGAAGTAATCCTGTCTGTGCAGCGGGGACAGAGAGAGCTCCTAAGGGCAAGCTGTTTCTTATAATGTATAGCTACAAAAGGCCCTTGGTTTTAAGGTTTGATAGTCCACTGTCTGCCAAAGTAGAGGCAAAGTCAGTGTCTGAAATATATATGGGTTTAATTTCCTCCCCTGGAACAATAAGACACATGATTTTTAATTAGGAAGGTAAACACTCTATTTTTTTAAATTATAAACTAATTACCCATTGCTAAGAGTATAAATATTTTTGGAGTTGAAAAAGTCAATAAAAGGTAAAATCATTCTGATTTTAACATTCATATACATGTGTTCACTGGTTACTGCTTTGCACTTAATTTAAGACAGCCTTTTTAATAAGCAGAAAATGTGGATTTTTATATTGTTTAAATTTTAATATGAATTTTTGTTCAAAACAACAGACATTCAGGCTACTTGTAAATGATACAAGATTTTTTGCTAATGAGGCATTATGTAGAACATATGCAAAAATCACAACTAAGCCTTCCAAAATAGACCACAACAACAGGAAAAAACATGATTTTAATAAAAAAGAGCAGCACTGGGCTTTTACTTCAAAGCAATTAAGGGATTTGGATAACCAAAAGTTTATGTCAAGCTGATGCCAAACCAAACTGGTCTATTAAACACATACTATGGAGAGTTTCTGTAATATTCTATGAAAGGGCTCTCTGCCATAAATATCAAGCACTGCCATTCTGAAGATTACAACTATGTTAGGTTCATGTTTGCGAACAAGGGGTCCAACATCCAGATCAGACTTCTAGAATTTCAAATCTAAAATAATGTATCCGTGAAGGAGAACTTAAAATATGTTTTTCATTTTATGATTTTCTCTAGTCAGTTATACCAAGTTTTTCTCTCCAACATTTTTTTCCAATAGTTTTTCATTTGTTTAAGAAATTGGTGTTACACAAAATTTTGAGTTACATGTAATCATTTAAAAAGCCTTGAAAATCCTTATTTTATTTTATTTTTTTGGTTTGTATTTTCTTTTTTTTATTGTGAAAATATTGTACAGAGGGGTTACAATTACATGGGCAAGATAATGAGTACATTTCTTATCAAGCATTGTAGCCTCCTCCTTTGTTTCCCCTTCCTATCCTCCCCTCCTCCTCCCACCCAACCCTCCCCCCCGCCCCACCAAAGTTGTAAAGTTCGTTTCTCAACATAATGACTTGTACATCTCATTGCTGCAATGGATCCACCTGTATCCCTATTTAAACAATTTGTTTTTTCCCTTCCCCTCCACAAATTATACCAACCTCAAATACAGTGAAAGCAGGGGTTATACCATGAGGGAGGGACATACAAAGCAACAAAAAAAATAAGAAAATCCTTATTTTAAGTTACTGAAGTTTTTAAAAACGATTTCAGGAAATAGTATGCTATTTATTATTTATCTTTTCTTCTAAGCAAATAACACGTAAATTATCAATTTTATAAAATCTGTGAGGTAGGTACACCAACTGATTTATTTCTTTGGCTTCTGCAATAGAAGTTCCTTTGTCTATAGTAGTAATTTTGTTTCTGGTTTTAATTTTTGATGTTAAAAAAGTTTTTAAAAGCAATTTTTTTTGTATGTGAATAATATAGCTGCTGAGAAAGGCCTTAGTTTGAATTTTAAGGTAAACTCTTCTATGTGTATATGATGATGCATCTTGCTGGCAATATTTATAGTAGAAAAGCATATGTTCCTGACTATTTCTGCTGCTGCTGCTCTAACCTAGTTCTGAAGAACTTTTGGATTCCTCTTCAATTCACACTGAAAATGTAGGTCGACATGATTATATCCATCTGGGATATAATCTAGGAACTTGAGCAATATAGCAGGGAAAGGAGTCCTTGATAGCTTGTATCTAAAAGCTAACAGGGATGGACCCCAAAGCTTGAGTTTGGCTTATGTGGATTTTTAAATCTAGATAATGTGTTAAGTATGGTTGTTGATAATTGTACTACAATACCACTTTAGTGCCAAAGTTTGTCTTCAGGCACTGTTCCTGACAAGAAACCATTTCTTCGTTTTCTAAGAAGGCATAGTCTAAAATCAGTTCTTCTTCCTAGGGGACCATGGTTAATAACTAGGCATTCAAGCTGGTTTAAGGCCAGGGTTTCAATTACATCCTCCAATTTAAGAGTAATTCTCAAAAACATTCATATTTCTGTTGCTCTTCACGTATGAGGGTATATAATGTCATTAAATACTAGGATTTCCCTATATAATTTAGTTTTATAAATAACTCTTAGGAATCGAAATTACTAATGTTTTTCAATCTTTCAAATATAAAACTGTTAAAATATAAATATTCTGTTTTAGTTAGGGGCTGGTAGGTCATGATTCTAATCCTAGCTACTCAGTAGGTTGAGAACTGAGAATTATGGTTTGAAGCCAGCTAGGGCAGGAAAGTCTGTGAGAGTCTTATCTCCAATTAACCAGCAAAAAAGTTGCAAGTGGAGCTGTGGTTCGAGTGGCAGAACATAAGCTTTGAGCACAAAAGCTCAGGGACAGACCCCAGGCCTTGAGGTCAAGCCTCAGGACTGGTATGCGTGCACATGTGCGCGCACACACGTGCACACACACACAAAGATGAAAAGATAATTCAAAGACAATTCATATGAATGAAAAGTCTGTACTTTATAGAATGTCAAAAATGGATAGGTGGCAAAGAAGTTATTGATGAGTCTCATTGTAATCTATAACAATCAACACATTTTAATACAAACTTGATAATCAGGAGCATGTATAAGTTTTTGGGATCACAAACTGCTACCCTAAATATTTGCAACCATAAACATACTGCCCTTTTAGGGGTGGAAAAAAATCTTCAAAAAGTCTAGACTTACATATCAAGTATGTCAACTGCTGAATTTTTGTGACTCATACTTCCTTTGGTAGCTATAATCAGATATTGTTAACTTCATGGTAAATGCCACAAATAAAGTCAGAAAGTTGAGGGTTAGAACCTGCTGAAAATGAAGGCAGGTTAAGAAAAATAGCAGATAGTAGTTCTATAGCAGGCCTATGTTAAAAAAAAAAAGAGGTTAAGTGAAAATAGGATTTTTGAATAGACTAGATGAATATATTAAATGATAAATTTATTTTGATTTTATCAAAGTGATATTTGTGTTTTTAGCATACCTTTGATCTGTGGCTTGCTGTTCTCGAAGCTGAAGAAGAGATAACTCAATTTCATTTTCTTTTCTCCTCAACTGAGTTTTCAGGATCTCAGCCAAATGCTCTAACTCTTCTATCTGGCCTTTTTGTGACTGAATAACATTTTCTCTGAAATAAAGAACTTTTATAAGAATTTGTAGTTTGAGGAAAAATTGTAGCATTTAAAATCACTACCATAAGATAGTTCTTCATAATAAAGAACAAGTAGAAGTTTTAGCTTAATTAACTTTGCATATAGTAGAATAATTATGGACTGAATGTGTCTATTTAGAAATACATATGGAACAAAGGTACTGCTTTTCCTAAGACAATGTCCAAGGCAGTGGACTGTACTTTGGTTCAATTAAGCAAGTATTGAGCATTGTATTCTATAATCTGGTCTTAAGAGAGTTTAAATGCCTTCTTTCATATATGCATTGCTGCATACATTGGAGAGATGGCAGAAAATTTGCCAAACATAACTTAGTTTATCTCTGGTACATATTTATCTTTTCCATGCCTGGCAGTATCCCAGGACAATGAGCCTCAGAAAGTGGTATTCACCTTGGCTTTTCATTTATTAATTTTGCTGGTCCTGGGGCTTAAACTCAGGGCCTGGGCACTGTCCCTGAGCCTCTCTGTACTCAAGGCTAGCATTTTACCACTTGAGCCACAGAGCTACTTCTGGGCCTTTTCTGAGTAGTTTACTGGAGATAAGAGTATCATAAACTTTTCTGCCAGGGCTGGCTTTGAACAGTGACCCTCAGATCTTAGCCTCCTAAATCATTAGGATTAACAGGCCTGAGCCACTGGCACCTGGCTTTCACCCTGGCTTTTTAGCTGATTAATAGGTAACAAGATTATGTCTAGTTTTATTTTCTCATAGACTAATCATTACTGTAACTGATAATATATTCAAAAGGAAATGTTTTAAGCCCATATTATTCTTAAGCAACTATTTAAGGTTTGAAACTTGTTTGAATCATGCTGTTTTCTCTTTCTTCAGTGTAGTTCCTTAATGATGATCCAGGTGAAGGCCTATAGATAAGGTAGAACCTTATCTTCATTTGTATGACTCACAGGCACTGAAACCATGAGGCTTTGATTAACTGGAAAAGAAAGCTAAATGTGGCAGAAGAAACTTTCTTGCAACTATGACATGATAAAGAATGTAAGCATTGTGGAATGACTAGGAAACAAAATCTGAAATCCATATGTGTCTGAAAATGCCAAACTTTTAAGCTATTTCAATCCCTAACCCCAATAGAAAAAAAAAACCAAAAACAACTAATTGACCTAGAAACAAAAACAATCCCCTCCCCAAACAAATCTGTGATTTTTCTGGGAACGAAGGTATAATCTCTGAAGTTTCTATTATTGGAAATGATTGAAATCTATGCCATTTCTTTGGTGGCCAAATTATAGTCAGATGATTATTCTATAAATCCTTGCATGGGTGCAGTTGGATAAGTTGTTCAGGTCCCTTATTTTACTGAAGGCATTCCATATAATACCTGTTATTAATCCACAGAACTAGCTGCATTTTTGTGAAGCAAATTATTTATACATACCCCAATCTTGTTTACAATAAAGGAAAGGGAAGGGCCAAAACAAGACATGATCAACAAACAAAGTTCTAAAATGACCATGAAAAAGAATACATACAAATTTCTTATTTCTCCTCTGGCTTCTTCAAGTAAACTATTCCCATATTTAGTAAGCATGGGTTGTGTAGTTTCTGGTACATCGGCATCCTGGAATCTTATACCTAAAAATAAAGTAATAAAATATAACTATAGAAGTGAAGGTAGAGCTGGGTGCCAGTGGCTCACGCCTGTAATCCTAGCTACTAAGTAGGCTGAGATCTGAGGATCATGGTTCAAAGCCAGTGCGGGCAGTAAAGTCTGTAAGACTATTATCTCCAATAAACTACTTAGAAAACTGGAAGTGGTGCTGTGGCTCCAGTGGTAGAGCGATTGCCTTGAGCTGAACAACTGAGGGACAGTATTCAAGCCCAGAGTTGAGGCCCTATGGCCGACAAAAAAAAAAAAAAAAAAAAAAAAAGAAGGTAGAAAAGATACTTGATTTATTATCTTAAAGGTATTTATAATATAATAAAAATCTCTTCTGAGGTAAAAGACATATGTGCAAAGATTCTATAGTATTTTTAGACTTTTTTCTAGGTAATTTGCCTTCTAGATTAGAATTGTTACATGGATAATACTTGTTGCTGCATTTTATTTAATACCTATTGGTAGCTAAAATCTAAAATCCTCTTTGGTAGTGTATTTCTAATCTAGAAAGCAAATTACCTAGAAAAAATCTGATTTAATTTATGATTTAAAACTCCTGTTGGGGCTGGGAAGGTAGCTCAGTGGTAGAGTGCTTGCCTTGTATGCATGAGGCCCTGGGTTCGATTCCTCAGCACCACATAAGAAAAAAAAAAGAAAAAAGCCGGAAGTGGCGCTGTGGCTCAAGTGGTAGAGTGCTAGCCTTGAGCTGAAGAGCTGAGGGACAGCGCCCAGGCCCAGAGTTCAGGCCCCACGACCAGACCCCCCCCTTAAAACAAACAAACAAACAAAACAAAACAAAACAAAAAAAACTCCTGTACTTTTCAGTTTGGGTTTTCACAAGGAAAAATTGAAGTATAAAGTAAAATATTTTTCAAAAACTTGACTATTTTTAGTGCTTCTGATAATGTTTTTGATTTCTAAATTAATCATTCACATCCCTTTTCCTCTCTTCATCCTTTGATATGTTTAAGTCAAAGTGTTTCCTGAGTTTGTTTTATTCCACCTCACTAAGAAAATCCATATTTAAACAAAGGTGTTTGGAGAAAGGATCAATAAAATTCCTTTAAATAAAACATTTCTCTGCTGCACTTAGAATTTCTTATAAAAATAGTTATATGCATTGGGTGTGGTTCACACCTGTAGTCTCAGCTACTTGGGAGGCTGATTTGGTAGGAATGCTTGAGCCTGGAACTCAAGGCTAAAGTGGGTAACATAGAGGAATTTGTCTCTTAAAAGAGAAAATAGTTACATGCAAGTTTACAAGGATAGTCCCATTATTAAAAACAATGTAAACTTTTAATAATGAGATACTTTATATTTATAAATTAAATTATATTAAAATAACTTAAATTAAATTAAAACAATCAAATAATTAAAATTATTAAATTAAATTATATGTTAGATAATTAAACTAACAATTAATAATTAAATTATTAAATTATTATAGTTTCAGGTAAATCAGGACAAACGAGACTTTAAAATGGAAAACAGTCTCAGATATGGAAGTACGAGAAGATTCTGCTTAGAAAAGTGAGGTATAAGGATATATTTGAAACCATATTAAAAAGTACAGTTTCATTGCACATTGTAAATATTTATTTATTTGTGTGTTTTTAGAGACAGGGCCTTATTCTGTAGCCCAAGTTACACTTACACTTGTGATCCTCCTGACTCAGCCTCCCAAGTGCTGGGATTGCAGTCCCATATCAATAGTAGTTACGTTTTAAAAGATAAACCCTACAAAAATCTTTATTCCATTGGTTCTTCACAAGAAGAATGATGTCTATATAACATCTATTACACCTAAGCCAGAACTTTCCGTCTTTTATCCAAATGCACAAATAGAGAACAACAGTATTCATATAGCAGTTTGAGAGTCCAGGCTGCCTGTGGGATAGTGCCCAGGCCCTGAGTTCAAGGCCCAGACTGGCCTTGAACTAAAAAAGAAGGAAAAAAAAAGCAAAAGAAAGAAAAGGAATATACTCATTGCTATAGAAGGGTTTATGAATTCCTATGCCTTGAGCTCTAAGAACAGTAAAAAAAAAGTTTGAATCACTGATGGAACACAAATATAAGTAGAAATGTAATGAGTCACATTTTTAAAGACTTCTCTTCTATGGCTATTTAATGAACGGGAAACTTGTATCAATCTTTTACTTAAATAGTAATTTAAACTATGTCAGCTTCCCATTTTAGTCTAAAATTTTCAAATTTTTTTTAGTACAAAAGAACTTGCAGGCCTTAAACATCAACTTGCCTGGGGCTGGGAAGGTGGCTCAGTGGTAGAATGCTTGCCTTGCATGCATGAAGCCCTGGGTTCGATTCCTCAGCACCACATAAGCAAAAAGAAAAAAACCGGAAGTGGTGCTGTGGCTCAAGTGGTAGAGCGCTAGCCTTGAGCTGAAGAGCTGAGGGACAGAGCCCAGGCCCAGAGTTCAGGCCCCACGACTGGACCCAAAAAAAAAAAAAAAATCAACTTGCCCAATTATATTGCTGGGCATCAAAAATAAGGTTCAGAAAGAATGACAATTATATTCCTGGACATCAAAACTAAGGTTCAGAAAGAATGATGGTTTTAAAGTTAAAATATATTGAGTGGAGCGACACTACCCTGATTTCTTATCACTCCATTTCATAGATGGGGAAAATGAGGCTGAGTGTTAAACTTGCCTCCATATAAAGTTAACTAATGGCAGAAGGTATTTTCTGATTTATAATTCATTATGCTTACTTTGATTATATTCAAAGTCTACTGCAATCTCACATAGCTAGGAAGAGCCAAGCCCTTTCATCCTGCAGCTGCCTCCTGCCTGTGTGGAGGCCCTATTGACTTCAAAGGAACACTATCTAGGGAGGAGATAGTGTTAACATTTTGATTTGGAGAGAAAACTACAACAAATTTTTTTCCCTTTCTGCTCATATGGTGTTTTTTTTCTTCCTCAGTGAATTGAAACTAAAGTTTTACATTATGTTTTTATACTTCTGAAGGTGTTTGATCTTTATGTGAAGCATATTACAAATAAAAATCAATTAGAGTTAACATTTTATTTTCTTTCTAGTAGTTGCAATTAAAACAAGTTATTTAAAATATTTATTTACTTTTAATTTCATTACAGTAAGTTTGAGGGTAGAAAGAATTTAGGCTTACTATTGATTCCTGTCTACAAAATTAAACTGTTTTATATCTTGAGTAAGTTTTTGTTATTAATTTTAAAAATAAACAGAGATCTGAGATTATTTTTAGAGATGTATGAGATCTTTATGCTCATTGACTTCAATTCTTTTTATTTTATGTTAAGAAAGCTCAAATTCAGAATAATTAGATTGTCCAACCTCACCAGCTAGTAAGTAGAGAGCCATGAACTCAAATTCAACCAATTTTTCATGCATGTCTCTAGTATTATTTGTATTAGAAATAATACTTATGTTACTGTTTTACTAAACAAATCTGAAAGTCATCTAGAATAAAATGATTTTTGCTTTTGGTGATAGTAGGGATTGATACTACAGTATCAATGTTAAGTCAAGTGCTCCATCATTCTTGTTTTTGAGATAGAGTTAGTAGATTCCAGGGCCAGCCTTGAAGTCACCATTCTGTTGCTCTTCTCCTGTGTAGCTGGGATTACAGTGTAGCACCATGCCTGGTAATAAAATAATATCCACAACACCAAAAAGCAAGCCCCCAAGTCCCCTATTTTTCTCTTTCTGAAGACATTTAAAAACATGAATAATACAGAAATAAAACTTTGTGTGACTGTATGAAACAATGCATTAAAAGACTGTTAAAGGTTTGAGATCAACATAAGCCTTGTTTTACCTTTCCTGGGACATTCCTGTAAACCTGTATTTTCATTTGCTTTTCTCCGTCCAGCATTAACACGGGATGAAACATAGTTGTATGGAGTTTGTCTGTAACCCTGGATTTGTAGTTGCTGTTTGGCTGAAATTAGTCTGCTCTTGAGGGCTTCATTTTGTCTCTCAAGCTCATGAACTTTCTCTTGCAGCTGCTCAATCATTTCTTCCATTTCCACATCTCGTCCCGGCCGCTTGGGGCCGCCACTAACCCGCTCATATCTTTTCTTGTCATTAACTAACCGTATTAACTTGGTGGCCATTCTAGGGAAATAATAAAAAGATGAAAAGGAATGTGAGAAGTCAGCATAAAATGCATTCTGTTGAAAGAAACATAATCACTGTGAAGACTTCAGTGCAGAACCTGAATAATAAATTTCAGGTTTTGATGTAACTATTACTGCCTGTGAAGAATCCTTTGATGATAATTGAAACCACTGGGCAACAATCTGCTTTATAGCACTGACAAATAACAGTTTCCTAAGGCTTATCATTTAAGGTTAGTAAAGAGAGGACACATATTTACTCCATATGTTCCTGAAATGCAATTTTTAACGCATGACCTTATATAGGAATGCTGTATGCACTTAAATGTAGTTACAGATTGTGGATGTGGTGGGTTATAGCTGCAATCCACAGTAAGTTAAAACTTTTGAAAAGTGTGTTAAGACTGTGCAGCATTTAGGTAATATACTCTTTTCATTTTCTGTAGGACTAAGAAAATGTAAATGTAAAAATGTAAATAGGTTAATAGTCATTGATGCACACATGTGCAGCCCAATAAAGATTTCAAAAGAACCCAAAATATGCCAGTAAATGTTGCTTAGTAATCAAGAAATGTCTGTTCAGTGGCAGAAAATAATTAGATGCAAAAAATATCATCTTAATTCTTTCCAATTTAGATATATGTTGATCTTTTGGCATCACAGGATTTTATAACTTTGGTTCTTTTAAGTTTTGATAAAAACTGGTTAGACAGAACAAAAGACAGAAAGGGCACATGGGGGTGATGTAATATACACGTACGGAAAATATGCCTGACAGTGAATGGAAAAATCTTGGCAGGACAAGAAAGAAAAGGTGGCTTTGATGAGAGACACAAGTTCAAGACTTTACAAAATTGGTCGCACATCTTCAATAGCTGATTCTAGTTTATAGTGAATCTATTTTTATAAAGACCCAGACAGGAGATTGAAAATAAAAACACACTTCATTTATCTTTAAATGGGAGTTACTTTATTTTAGCATGGTTATGGACAGAAGCTTTTACTTATGAGAACAAAAAAATCCTTAATAGTTTTGGGATGTTATAGAACAACCTTTCCCCCCCTCTAAGCAGAGTCCTCTGTAAATGCAGTAGTAATACATGTCTATCTACACTTCTGGCTACTCTGCCTACAGCATGTGGCATCAGGGAGAGTTATGCATAACATAATCAGTTAAGATTGTTTTCTCTTTCCCTTGAGGCACATCCATTAAGCATGCCTTATAAGGGATATAGGATAATAAAAACCAAGATTCAAGAGTACCACAAACATCCTAGTAAAATAATCAATGATTAGTTCCCTTTATGCCTAATCCACAGAATGATCTAACACTGGGAAATGTGGCAAGGTATCATAGTCTAAAAAATCCCCACTGTAACTTATGCTTTAATGAATTTAGGTCTCAAACCCACTCAATGTTCTATCCTTAGAAACAGGGCTTAAAATGAGCTGTTAACCTTACATACTTGAATCAACTGTTAAAGAAGGACTTTGACATAAAAATACAGATTAGACTGGAAAGGACAGATTTAATTTGAAAAAGAGGTCACTATCTGAAAACCAATGAATAACTTTTGAAGCAAGAGAAACACAGAAATAGACTGCCTGCAAATCTTTACATGATGTTCAAATAAATTTTTCAAACACATTTTTTTTTGGTCTGGAAGCAAGACATATTTATCCAGAAGGGAAATATTTTCTATTTGCTTGATTTGATTATTTTGTGATATTAATGAACAAAAAGGGAGCTGACAAAGTGTAAATATGACTTAAAAAAGCAGTTAATAAAGTGTTGCATTTACATAAGAGAAAGTGATACTACTTACATCTTAAGGGTAAATTGAAAGATAGTTTGACCCATGTATCTAAGTCACTGTCAGTGGTGTAAGACTGAGAAGGAATTTAGAGCTTTGGATCCAAGTGTTCATTGGGTCTGTCACTACTCTGATAGCTTAGGTCAAATGGCTTTAACATACCATAGGCTAGTGGCAGAGAGATAATACCTACATACAAATTGACTTCTATCCCAGTCCTTTTTATTGTGCCTTAAAAATCAACTCAAAGCCAGGTGCCAGGGTCTCAAGCCTGTAATCCTATTTACTCAGGAGGCTGAGATCTGAGGATCACTGTTCGAAGCTAGCCAGGGCAGGAAAGTATGTGAGACTCTTACTCCAATAAACTACTCTGAAAAAGCTGGAAGTGACACTGTGGCTCAAGTGGTAGAGTGGTAGTCTTGAGCATGAAGAGGCTCAGGGACAGCATCCATGCCCTGAGTTCAGGCCTAGGACAGGCAAAACAAAACAAAAAAGCAAAGAAAAAAATTAATTAGTGTAAAAGGCCTGTACTAATCAAGTCCTGGATGGAAAATACAGTTCACAGAGTTGAAAGTAAACTGGAAATCACTTCTTTATGATGAATTCTAAGCAGCAGCAGCAAAAACACCCCCCCCCCAAAACCCTATCTTCTTTCTTCAATAGCTGTCTTTACTTTTCTTTGAACCTAGAACATGAATATGAATACAGAGTTGCTCATGCTTACAAATGTGCATGCATTTTTTTGTTTATAATCCCATACATTCAGAACATAGGAATGGCATTTTGAATAAGAATTAAAGGTAAGAAAGATTAAAGAACTACTCATAAGACATGATTTCAATTTTGACTTGCATACAAGTCACAAGTGAAAATATACTTTCGCAGAAACAGTAGAGACCCTTTGATATAAATATAGAACTGAGACTAACCCAAGCAAAGTTAAATATGTTCCAGAGATTGCAGTGATATTTTCATTAATAAATCCCAAATCTTAAGGGAACAGGCATTCTAACAAGTTGGAATAGTTAATTAGCTTTTAAAACTTTCCTTCACAATCATGACACGAAGTGAGTATATAGGGCTTTTAGGGTCTCATTTAAAAAACAGATGCTTAGGCTATTTGCTTTTTAAACCATAAATATTAAACCAAAAGTTATTTATAGATATGATATACTCATGGCACTCTTAGCTATTAGCTCTTTTTCAAATAGCAATTCAGACATAATAAATACAATCTTTTTAGTTTATTATTCTACTTTGTAAGATTTTCCATTTTTAAAAATTCTATTTATTTACAACCTGCCTGTTCTAAAAGAGATGGAAGGTGGGGTTTTCAATTAAGTTTATAAAAAAAGCATAGCCTCCAAACTTTAGAGTCAAGGAAAAAAAAAGCTAAAAGCTTTTTATCATAACCTTTTAATTTTATCCTCTTGCTTACGGGCATGCTGCTTAAGTAAAATGTTCTCATCACACAAACGTAAAAATCTGTCTTCCAGTTCCTCACGACTGACACGTGACACTGCTTGGCGGGACTTCATCGTTCGGGCTGCTGCAGTTTCTGAAAGAAATACAAAGTAATTAATTATAAGATTACTTAAAATAGCCTCTCAAAGCGCTAACTGCGGATCCTAAAATAATCTCCCATATACTCACATTTTTTTCTTTTGTGATTTATTTCCTTTGTGATTTCTTTAGAAAATGTTGGAGCATTGTTCACAACAACAATTTGAGTTGAGAATAAAGCCTTAGTGATATTTTATATACAGAATTAGAGATCTAAATAATAACAGTATTCTTTAACATGTATTCAAATCATTATATTTTCAAATTATAAACTGGAGCCCTGATTAAATAGAATTCTTAATTTGTATTTTGAAAAATAAAAATTAAAAGTCAAAGTCAGACTCTGCCTGGGGGTGTAACTTGGTGATAGAGTGCTTGTCTAATATGTACACCGTTTTGCATTTACTTGCAAGCACTCCAGGAAAAAGTCATAGTATCTGAACGCATTTTCTATCTCCTTCTTTCCTCTCCTCCCACCCTTTATCCTCCTTCCCTCTTTCCCCCTTTCTCCCTTCCTTCCCCAAAACAAGTGTTAGTATAATTCTGTGACACAATATAATTAAGATAGATATGAGTGTTAGGTTATAGAAAACTATAAAAATTACAAGATCAAACAAACACCCCCTCTAAAATTAAAACACTGTAATTTGAAATCTTTACAACTTTACAACTCATTTCTATGTATGCTATTTCATACTTTAAAAAGTTGGCACAGTGGTAGAGTGCTTGCCTCGCATGCATGAGGCCCTGGGTTCGATTGCTCAGCACCACATAAGCAGAAAAAAGCCGGAAGTGGCGCTGTGGCTCAAGTGGTAGGGCGCTGACCTTGAGACAAAGAGCTGAGGGACAGTGCCCAGGCCCAGAGTTCAGCCCCCAAGACCGACCAAAAAAAAAAAAAAAGTTTTATACCCTTTTAGCATGTCCATGTATTTTTTAATAGATGATTACTTTTGTTCTTTCCATATACCTGTGCAGTATGTCAATTATAAATATTCTTCAGAAGAAACAAATAACAAACTCATAAATTAAAACCCTGTGGTTCCTAGGTGCTGGTGACTCATATCTGTAATCTAGCTATTTGAGAGGCTAAGATTGGGAAGACTGAGGATCAAAGCCAGTGGGGCAGAACAGTCAGAGACACTCCATCTCCAATTAGCCAGCAAAAATTACTGGTTGGAATTGTGGCTTAAGTGGTAGAAAATCAGCCATGAGCAAGCATGCAGAGTGAGCACAAGGTTCTGTGTTCCAGTTCTGATACTGGCATACGTAAAAAAAAATCTTATAGTTGTTAGCTGAGGACAATAATTGAATTTACAAAGTAACAAAACAACATAAGTGCTTTACATATTTAAAGTTTATCCATATACCTGACACTCCCTTTGTATAACAAAGCTTATGTATTTTTTACTTTTAATAATAAAATCTGTATAATCATATTCATCTTTTTCAATGAATAACACACTGACCATCTATCTGAGGTAAATGTGGCTGTTTATACATTGTTCTGATTGAAAAATATGTGAAGATTCCTTAGTGGAATATTCTAAATCCCTAGCCCTCCTGATGGCAAATTTAGTGGCATGAGGGAATGAATGGCACACTGTTTATCCAAATATAAACATAGCCCTGTACTCTATTGCTCTTTAAAGCAGTGCTTTTCTTTCTCAATTTGAAAGTGCTCTTTAGCTCTATAGCAACAACTAAGTGATAAAAGGAAAAAGAAAACCTTTAATGTGTATTAATTTGATTGAAAAGTCACTATCACTTGCATAAACAGGCCATTTTGAGATACTCTACTTGAAAGGCAAAAATTTTTAAATATGGCATTTCCTCCTATATAAAATTTAAACAAAAAGAAATGTTTTTAATGGTGAATGTGATTTAAACCAGGCAATTCAGTTTGGAGGCTTGATACTCTATGCAGTTTTTCCTGATGTGTGGAATTTTAAAAAGATGATTTATAACAATTCTTTATCAGGACAGAGGGGGATCTTGGATTTGCTATGAGCTGTTGATAATTGATGCATGCAGTAAAATACCATATGTGTTCTTAAGTCTCCATCTTGTTTAGTCCAATCAAGAGCTATATAGTTACTTAAATGGTTTGGTTTGTATGAATATCAGAAATACTTTAAATTAAAAGTAAAGAAATCACTGATCAAAGTTCATAACTGTAATTAGGAACAGGTGGCCATACCTTGTAACCCTCCCACTCCAAGGAGATTTAGACCTATATCTTTCACAGGCAGGTCTCCTGCAGTCTCATCAGTGGGACCAGACATGGCCTATCTGTGGAAAAAAGAAAATTCAAGCGAACCCTTTCCAAGTTATTACATTAACTATGCAATGGAATGAACCAAATAAAATGAATAAGGGACTAGAACTTTAATGGACATCTTATTGCCCACATGTGCTGCTTGAAGAAGATGAAAGCTTCTATTCTAAAAGTAATACTGCATTCAATCATGGAGACCATGTCTCTTTCAACAGTGTATTTCCTACAGTTTGCTTAGGAAATGAGGTAAGATTATCATTTGTCCTTTTCTCTTTTAATTCCTTTATCTGAAATAAAAGGAACTCTTCCAAATTGAAGAAATATCTCCTCTCGAACCCCTCTCCAACCACAAAGAAAAAGCTAGGTCAAGAACCTGATTCAAACGCTTATTATATCATTTAGCAGCTGGTCAAGTCATGCAAACCTCTTTGAGTTTCAGTGTTTTCATTTCTAAGATAGAGTAAATCATACCTATTTCATAGTTATTCTAAAAGTGAGTGAAATGGCACATTAAAAGCATTTAGCAATAGTGTTTAGGATGACAAACAACAGGCTGAACATTATCTTTTGAACTGAGGTATAGTGAGTCATTTTAAGTTTTGTGAAAAGTTTCATAATTTGTCAGCTGCCACTGTTGCCACAAAGCCTAGGTCCAAGGGATTACTACCTCAACATGTAAGTTGTCCAGCTAATATTCTTCATAGAGATGTAACACAGTGTCTTTATTTTGTCTTACAGATACTGTTTGTAGAGATGTAACACAGTGTCTTTATTTATGTGAATAGTTAATACATCATAGGAAAAATTCTATATTTTTCATGTCAACCCACCTAGAAAAGTTAAATGGAAGCAGTCAAAGAAGATACCATAGAAAGAGGTTCCCAAGTTCTAGAATGTTGGTCCTAGAATGTGAAGACCAAGAAAGTAGCAAGCTTATTTGTCTTGAGGCTAGCTCAGGAATTCACTAAACAGGAATTCACTAAATAGTTCTTTTGGTGGATGAAGTCCATGGGGCATCAAGGTCTGGAAATGCAGACAACATTAAAATTATCAAGAAGCATAAACATAAACTATGAAAATGATTACTTTTCCTCACAGACTTTCAGGTTTACTTTACAGTAATAATGATGAAGAGGATGATGATGTTCACATTTATTGACTGCTTACAGTGCTTAAAGCAGAAAAAGTCCTAAGTACTCTACTTAAAGAGGAAAGATTCATATAATCAGAAGCGAAACCATACATTGCACTATTTAGTTAACTCACTAACATGGGTGAATTAAAAACCTCACAATACCCTTGTGAGTTGTTATTCCTGTCTTACAAGTGAGGAAGCTGAGGCACATTAGGTAACTTGGCCATGGTCACTCATCTAGGAGGTGGTATTTCTGGCTGTGCCAATTCAGAAGGGGAGATGTTACTGGCCTCTAATGGTTAGATGCCAGGAATGAGGTTCAGCAACCTACAGTGCATCAAGTCCACGATAATGAATTGTCTGGCCCAAAACATTACCAGCGGGTTACTGCACAATGCTCCATGCCTCTCCACCACTAGCCCTAGCCCTCCCTGCTTGCTTGGCATGCTCTGTTCCACGCTCTGCAATTAGCCTTTTGCATTAACAGCTGGCTCCTCATTCTTTGAAGCTCAGTTCAGCTCTCACCTCCTTGGGCTTTCCCGGATCATTCCATGTTGCTCTTCCCAAATTCTCCACAGCTCATTTCTCCACTGCAATGGCGTCTAGGTGATATAATCTCTCTCTCTTTTTTTTTTTTTTACTAGCTTATAACTTTGCACCAATGAAATATAAACATTCTTGAGATGGGTATTGGTCTTGGGTGGAAAAGTGTCTGATCCACAGTGGGCAAGAAAAAAAAAAATCTTTCGCTGAATGAAACAGTCACCGAGACGAAAATGGTAAACAAAGTCCCTTGCCTTTACAGCATTAACAGGCTGAGGGTGTACCAACCAATTCCGAATCCTGGGCGATAGCGTGAACTGTGTTTGTGCCCCTCGATGTGGCGCATCGGGACGGGGACGGTCCCTCTCCTCAGTGAGGGTTCACGGGTGGGGTGTACGTACGATTTCAAACTAGACCTGAGCGTGAGGACAAAGCGCGGGCTGTAGGATGGGCCTGGACATGGCTGGGCTGCTTTCCACACAAGAATTCCAGGGCCTTCTCCAGGCTGCAGAGCGAACCCACGAACCCAGCCCGGGCTGCGGAGGGAGGGTCCGCCAACTTCCCTTCACCACTCCCACCCCCCACCTTTTACCACAGTACTTACCACCTCGCTTTCCAGGCCGCTAGCTACCGTTGCTATAGCGCCGAGTGGAGCGCCGGCCTAGAGGAGCACGGGAAAAACTGGTAGGCCACATTGCCCTCTGGGAAATGCAGTTCTCTTAGGTCTCCAGGCTAGAGGCGTGCTGCTGAGCGGCCTACGCTCCCCCAGCGTAGTGACTTCCAAGCCTCCAGCGTGTCCGTGCGTCATGCAGGGCATGCTGGGAGGCGTAGTTCTTACGGCTCTGAGTAAGAATAGTACCGGACGGCCACAGGACCCGGAGAGAACTACATGCAGGAGGCGGGTCCAGAACGAGAGGTCAACGCGGCTCGCGGCGGCGAAGGCGGCTTCTGTGGTGGCAGCATGAAGCGTACCCAGACGGCGGAGGAACGGGAGCGCGAAGCTAAGGTGTGGCAAACTTATGAGGTTCAGGGCTCTTCCCATGTTGGGAGATAGGTGCTGGGAACCCTGAGGGCCTGTTTTCTTTGTGGGCGAATGCCTGGTGTTGAGCCAAGGGTTGACAGGGCCTGGTCTTGGTCTGCAAGGGACTTGGAGACCTGTACAGAGGGGTGTGTGTGTGTGTGTGTGTGTGTGTGTGTGTGTGTTGTATGGGGTAAATTAGTATTTTTCAGGATGCAGGACAGGCCTCTGTGTGTGTAAATTAGTATTCTTCAGTATTCAGGACAGGCGTGTGTGTGTGTGTGTGTGTGTGTGTGTGTGTGTGTGTGTGTGCGCGCGCGCGTGCGTGCGCTTGGTAAATTAGTACTGTTCTGTATAGAAGACTGGACCTGTTTTGTAAGGGACTTGGACACATGGGACAGTGGTATGTATATCAGTTTTGTAAATTAATGCTGCTCAGGAAGCAGTGCAGCTCAGAAATTAAAATCAAAGCACCTATTTTCTTATCTTGCTTCTGAACCTATTTTTTGGCTCAGTTTGTAGCCACAGGGCCTCAGTTTACTGGACATTCTGTTATCATTCCAGCTATGCTTTCTCATTCACAGTCTCTGAGGACAGAGAGCTGCTTAGATGAAATATCTATGAGGTCACATATGTTTATTTGGAATAGTTAGTTGCCTCAGTGGGCAGCTGACATAGTCTGACTTCAGCACTGTGGATGTGAATTTCTATTCTCTGCCTTGGGAGGACCATGATAGTAGCCCATGGTGATTTATTTATTTTCAGTATTTATTTTATTGTGTATCAGACACTTGCATTAAGTAAATAATACCTTATTCTATAATATTAGCATAGCACATTGAAAGGATCAACAGTCTAGTTTCATTGATGAAGAGCTCAGGCTAAGAAAACTTGAAGGCTTTCCTTTCCCCTGTTCCCAAAGTTAGGTCCTACGGATTTGTGAATATATTGGACATCTCTCTACTTCTGTCCATTTTTGATACCTAGATTTCAACCCTCCTATGCTTTCTGCAAAGCTAACAGTCCTGCTCTGCTAAAGATAGCTTTTTTTTGTTGTTGTTGTTTAGATTGGTTTTGAATGGTCTCGAAACTATTCTCCTTATCTTCTGAGTAGCTTGAGCTACTGCTCTAGGCTACTTTGTTTTTGTTTTTGTATTTTTTTATTGTAAAAATAGTGTAGTGTTTTTTTTTTTTTAAACTACATAACCCATGGCTTTATGCTTCCTAGACAGGTGCTCTACTTCTGAGTCATGCTTCCAGACCTTCTTTGAACTGGTTATTTTTGAGATATGCTCTTGCTTCTTGCACAGTTGTAAGCCTGGATCTTGATCTGCTTAGTTTTAGGCTTCCTTTTATAGCTGGGATGAGGGGTATGTAATAACTCACTTGATTTCTTCTGAGATGGAGTTTTGCCAACTTTTCAGCCTGGGTTGTTCTGGACCTTATGAACTTCCTGATCTTAGCCTCTCACTTAACTAGGATGATCGGCATGCACCATTGTGACAGCTGTTGATTGAGTGGGGGTCTCTTGTGTATGCCCTCTTGTTTTGGAATCATGATCCTTCTAATCTCGCCTCCCAAGTAGCTACTAAAATTATTGGTGTGAGTCATCAGCACCCAGTTCACTTTGGCTTTGTTAAAAGTCCTCCTTGACTGTAGTTATCTACTCATAAGGCTTTTGCACATTCTGTTTGGTATGTACTTTGTGTTAGGGAAATACTGGAAATGAAGATCAGTGGTAAATAAAACAGGTACAGTTCTTTTTGTCATAGAATTTAGTCTTACCAAACAGCGCATGTTTTCTTCTCATATGTGCAAGCTAGATCTAAAATACACCAGGACATGATTAATACAGGACTCTAGGCATTCACACACAGACCAGAGGAGGATACTCTTTAGGGAGGAACACAAAGGCACAATGCCTTTTATATGATCAGTGAATCTGATCATATAAAATAATACTTATAGGAATAAATAAAAAGAATTTATAGTCTTAAAAGTGATCTAGCTATTGCAGACTTACTCCTGGTTTTACAATGTCAGTTTACAAATAGCCGGAGCAAAGTTTTGAGAAAATGGAAATGTTTTATTATTATTTGTGAAAAATAGAGGGCAGAGAAAGTTGAATCTCTCAGAGCTCTGTTGTCTTCTGAAAGTGTCTGATTCCCCCCCCCCCCCCCCCCCCCCCCACTGACTTGAACTCAGGGTCTGGGAACTGTGACTGAGCCTCTTTGTGTTCAAGGCTAGGGCACTACCACTTGAACCACAGCACCACTTCTGGCTTTTTCTCAGTAGATAAGAGTTTCATGGACTTTTCTGCTCAGGAAGGTTTGGAACCATGATCCTCAGATCTCAGGCTCCTGAGTAGCTAGGATTATAGGCATGAGCCACCAGTGTCCAGCTAAGTGTCTGATTTTAAAGCAGAAACTCATGGGCACATTTTGGGATATGTGATGGACTCTGTCCAAATCACTGTTTTGTTTTTGGCTTCACTCTGTGAGATATATCTTATTTAACATAGGTTTTACTCCTTCCTGGTAGTGGGAGGGGGAAGAGAGGGTGAGTGGAAGGGGAAGGGCTTTGATGGATGGAAGAGGGAAGGAGAGAAAGAGAAGGTGGTAGGAAGGGAGAGGGTGAGAGATGGAGAGAGGCAAGGGGGAGAAGACAGCTCATCTATACTGAAGAATAAAGTGTTAATCTTGGTGGGAGTGTAAACTTGTTCAACCACTTTGGAAAGTAGTATGGAGGTTCCTCAAAAGACTCCACATAGAGCTCCCCTATGACCCAGCAATCCCACTTTTGAGCATTTACTCAAATGTTTACAAACAAGACCACACTAAAGCTACCAGCACGACTATGTTTATTGCAGCACTATTTACTATAGCTAAGATACGGAGCCAACCCAGAAGCCCCTCAGTAGATGAATGGTCAAGAAAATGTGGTATATATACACAATGGAATTCTATGCCTCCATCAGAAAGAATGACATTTCCCCATTTGTTAGGAAATGGAAAGACTTGGAAAAAATTATATGAAGTAAGCCAAGCCCAAAGAAACAAAGGTCCCATGGTTTCCCTTATTTGCAATATCTAGTATATGTCTGAGTCAAGCAGTAAAGTTCAGATAAGGTGATGTTAGGGAAATGAACCCTAAGATATGTACTCAAATGTTTTTTTTTCCTTCTTGCGATTGTTTCTAACACATTTATAAGATTATTTCTTTGTTGCTTTGTATGTTCCTCCCCCACGGTATAACCCCTGCTTTCACTGTATTTGATGTTGGTATAATTTGTGGAGGGGAAGGGGAAAAACAAATCGTTTAAATAGGGATACAGGTGGACCCATTGCAGCAAGTCGTTATGTCGAAAACAAACTTTACAACTTTGGTATGGGGGGGGGAGCGGGGAGGATGGGAAAGGGATAGGAAGGGGAAACAAAGGAGGAGGAGGCTACAATGCTTAATAAGAAATGTACTCATTATCTTGTCCATATAATTGTAACCCCACTGTACAGTATTTTCACAATAAAAAAAAAAGAAAGTTAAAAAAAAAAGTGTTAATCTTGGGTTCTCCAGCATGGGGTGGGAGGGAGAAAGGAAAGAAATAATACACCCCAAACCACCATTTTGAATCCCTGAATAACCAGCAATGCAAGCTGGTCATACCAAAGGTTTATTTTTTTGTAGTCCCACCTAGAGTTCTAGGGAAATACATTTAAGCATTTAAGATATCAAACTTAAGCTAATTGCTATGGTACATGCATATAATCCTACTTGTATGGGTGAGGCAGGAAGATCTCCAGTTTAGGCCAGCCTTAGGCCATATAGTGAAACCCTGGGTCAAAAAACCAAAACCGAAATCAAATCTGCTCTTTAATGGCTGACTTAGTGAGACGTTCCCCAAGGGACCTGCTTAGGTATGCTTGTGATGTGAGCACAAAGGGGTAAGACCCCACTAGCATTAATATTCTACATTCATTATCCTTCCTCATGCAGAGAAACAATAAGATATTTCCTGTTGGCATTATATATCATATCTTTCTCACCTTTCATTTTAAAGTAATTCAGAAATTCTGTAGTTTATTGAGCACCAGTTATTTGCTGTATATTGGGGTGATACTTTGGGCTAAGACAGAATCTCTGTTCCAGAGGACCTGTTAGACTATTGACATTTAGTTGTTGCCTAGGAGGTCATTATTAATATCATTAATAACAGGTTCAGAGAAGTTGTGATGTGCTTAAAGCCACTTGTATGCTAAGTGGAACTAGGAATCAGAATCTGGTCTTTGCACTACAGTTTCATAAATTTTTTTCCCTCCATTTATCTGCTTGTGAAATATTTCTTCAAAAAAGCAAGTTGTCTTCCTATTTGCCTTTGATGTTTCTTTGGTCTTTATTTGAAATAGTCTACTTCTGAAATTCTGACTAGAAGAAAATATAGGCAGTTGTTTTAAATCCTAAATAGAACTGATTACTATGAATTCTATTTTTTTCTAATGAAGTTCATTGAGGGATGATTTATATTTAGTAATCTGCAATCATTTGTAATATACAGACTGATGAATCTTGACAGATGTACATACATGTAAAACCGCCACAGTTGGCAGAGAAGATGTTCCTATTCCTTTTGAAAGTTTCCTCTTGCTCATTTGCTGCCAACTCTCCCTCCATCTTGGCAACCACTGATGTGTTTTCTGTCACTATAGATGAATTTGTATTTTCTAGAATTTCATGTAACTGGAAACATACAGTTTGTACTCTTGGTTCTGTTTATTCATTCAGCATAATGATTTTTGAAATCTGTGTTACTACACCTATCGCTAGTTTGTTCCTTTTTATTGGTGATTAATAGTGCAGTTTCTGGCTATATCACCTATTTATTCCTTCACCGGTTGTTGGACATCTAGATTGTTCTTGGTTTGGGGCTATTCCCAAACAAGCCACTGTGTAAGTCTTCCTGTTTGATCTCTATTGGGCAATGCATTCACTTG